GAAAAAAACTGGAATATATATATATATATATATATATATATATATATATATATATATGTATATATATATAATAGTTCCTCTCTTACCTTTTAACCACATACCGAATTTGAGATTGATACCTCTTTTTTGGCCAAGTTATAGCGAAAACACTTCAAAATTGATGACGTCAAATTTTCAAACTATTTTTTAGCACTTTTAGAGCACTTAGCGCAAAACAAAGACCCATTAGACTCCCCGTAACGAGCTGCATCGAATCGATACCCATTTTATGCAAAAATATCAACTTTGAAATTTGGCCTAATTTGGCCTGACTTCGACCTGATCTTCATCAGAACAGAACATAACCTAAACTGCCCCCAAAAGGTTGCCTGACCCTTATAACCTCATTTGTCATGTAAATTGGACCATAAAACATGTATCACACGACACTTTCGAATGGTGACCCTCAGTGACCCGACCTCTGTGATCTGACCTGGTGGCTGGTATCAATGACCTAAAATAGCAAAATATGTGTTTTATGGACAAATCCCCCATCGATGATTTTCAATTTAATGCCTTTTACTCGATTTTACAACGCATTTCTTGAAATGCCTGTAAACGGTGAAAATTCGACCACTGACCTGACCTGTGACGTCATCGGTTGGACCGAGGTCAATGAAATTGGCCCGTAAGGTAGTTCCGTGGTAGGGCTGTCCAACGCCGTTTGAATTTTGAAAATCGGCCGGTAACTTTCCGAGATCTTGGGGGGGGGGGGGGCGAAACGCCCCCTCTCCTACGGTATTAGGGTCCATTGATAGCCCTACGGGGCGCGGGTTAATACTTTGACCTAGCCACTGTAAACTTACAAGCATCTTACCCTTAACCCTCGCCCGCACATGCCATTTTCCCATCCTAGAACGCACATGGGGGGGTTGCCACCCCCCCCCCCGCGCCATTTCGTTCCTGTTGGAGACAAAAAGATTCTTTGGGAAGAGATGAATCCAATGATACCCAGTTTTACCTTCTCAGGTCAGTCATTGACCTTCCAGGTCAGGTCAAACTAAAAAATGTTGCTGTTTTGGGTCACCGTTGGATATCAAGTGCGCTGCTTATCATATACCGATGACGATGCCGTTTTCTGGTGCCAAGCCAGCTAGAACCTCTTAGTCACACTACCCGACCAGGTTTTTGCTGCTGAGGTCATTTCAGGTCAAGTTAGGTCAAGGTCAATTATATGTGTTTGTATGTCTGTGTGTGTCTGTGTGTACATATACTGATGTGTGCACCGATTGTTTATGTGTCCATATTACATGAAATCATGATCTGAGAAGCTTTTACCAAAAATGCAGTCAAAAAATCACAAAAAATAAATTCCGCTTGCCTCAAACGCAATTATCTTAGATGACCTAGGTTGACCTTGACCCTGACCTTGACATCTGTACATCGTCGAACAACATGTTCCATGATAGGTGGGAGGTAAGACTGGCAAAAAAGGCCGAAATCAAGGTGTCAAAAGCTCACAAGGCCCATAGCCAACGCAAGATGTTGAGAATTGGCCATTTGGGTCATGACATGACCTGAAAAACAAGGTCATATCCAGGGCTGCGGAGTCGGAGTCGGAGTCGGAGTCGATTTTAGAAACCCGAGCCGGAGTCGGAGTCGGAGTCACCGAAAATCTGTCGACTCCGCAGCCCTGCTAGGTCTGCGGAGTCGGAGTCGGGAGTTGGAGTCGGTCGGAGTCGACAATTCTGCCGGGAGTCGGAGTCGGAGTCGGAGCTGGTTTTTGAAAGCCGGAGTCGGAGTCGGAGTCGGAGTCGCCGAAAATTCATCGACTCCGCAGCCCTGGTCATATCTCTGAAACCAAAAACCACAGAAACTTGAAATTTTCAGTGAACATCAAGAAAGGATAGAGGCGCAGCTATGCGAAAAATCAGCCTCCTAGCTCTAAAAATGTTGAGTGCAGAGCAGAAAGACTACCTGGGGGGGGGGGGGGTGGCAACCATCCCCCCATGTGCGGGCGAGGGTTAATGACCTAGCTTGACATGGCCTTGATCTGACCTCGATCTAAATTACATCATATTTCGTTCTTATTCACTAATTGGGTGTTCCATCCCCATCTGCGAGTATGTGTATAAATTTAACTACATGTGACACTCATATCCCCTCAAATGACTAATAATTGATGAGCTCGACCTAAGCTGACCTCACTTTGACCTTTAGCTTTGAATAACATCTGAAAACTGCGCCATGTCTTCATGGCATCCGGACGCGCTCTGGGACGAGAACTGGGAAGCTTATATTGTAGAAACTTTTCAATTTGACCTTCGGCCTGCCCTTGAACCGGCCTTTGACCAATTTGGCAAAAATTGTGCTCTTAAAATTCAGTTAATTCAGTTGGCTGAGAGCTGTTTAATGCCTTTTCGCCTTTCTACGACATCCGTTCAGAAGAAGGACGGTAGGGTGTGGGGTGGGAGCAGAATACATATGCCCTGGCCAGCGCGGCGGGGCGTGTTCGGCCGAATATCCCAGCGGGGATCGAGTTATTCATAAGTGTACTGTTTAATGATATGCACATTGCACGCACATCACTTTTTGCGCCATTTTTATTCTCATCATTAACTTGGCAACTGATAATGTGTCTACCGACTGAACATCTCATACACATTTGTCCAACATGTCGGCTAAGCCAATGGCATTAATGACACCAAACTATTCAGCGACGAGATTCTAGACGGATTCGTCGGGTGCCCTCTGTATAGAATGTCAGGCACCGTCAATATCCATGAAGCTGAACTCTCGGCTCAGGTACGTATAAATAGTACTTACATAATCTCGGGGATGTCCTATATCTTTGTGCGCTCTTGGTCGGGTTAGGAATTAAGTACTGTTAGTAACGATTCATTGCGCTAATTTTATCACTCCTTCAGGCACATCTTTTCACGGTAGGTACTCCACCTTCTACGTGATATGATTCCTTTGCTCGCTCTCTTGTTTGACTGTTGTTGATTGACGATACCTTCACCTATTCTACACGATAATGACCCCATTTCACTGGTGTGCAACCCTTACTGAGCCCGCTTCATTCATCCGCTCAAAATTCATTAATAACGTGAAGAACGAAGGTGAATTATGATAATTTGCTTTAGTTGGAACACTGCTTTGTCCTTTAAAGTGTGCACGATGCATTTGGCTGGCATCAGTAATCAAATTTATATCATACTGTCCCGCAGCTCTAGTTGGTGAAACGTCGGATATCTGGTGGTGAGCTAAGTTCGAGTCGCTCCCGCTCACGTTCTATGGAAACTCTTGACGTGAATGGTCTGCGGTTGGGAGGGAACAGTCGCAGGTAGTTTCAGTCAGTGGGTGGAACAGACCAGCATGTGGGTGTTCAGCACGTTAAACTTTGGCTTCTAAATGCTCCTGACCACCCGGAATTCCTGACGGCACGGTGGAGGTCAGGCCCGCGCAATCAACCCTGCTTAACGAGGGCCCGCGCCTCGCCAGACTATTTAAAACATTCAATCCCTGAAATAAAACTGTTGACAATGTGTTTTACTCATTCTCTCAATGTTTTATGAAAAGGTAGGTAAGCACACATTCACTATAATGTAAATGTGAAGATACTGACCTCAGGGATGGTCGGGGTCCCGAAAATGCACGTGGAGGGGCTTTTTAGCGCCTCACGGCGCAACGCTGCTGATCAGTAAGGTATTAACTTAGCCTACACGAAGAAGATTTATCACACCTGAGGCTAGGCTGGTTACAAATGGTATAAATTATTTCTCGAAGCGGCCGGGAACAACACAAGGCAATGGAAGCAAATATGCAATGGTCAAGAAAGGGCAAAAATTTCAGAAAAAGGTCGACCTAATTAAGGCAGAAAAATCAGGTTTTAAGCTAAAAGGCCACAATTAACTAGACAATGGAGTGTTCTGTAGTGATCCTATCGATGACACAACAGCTAACGTCCATTTAAGTGTCAGTATGCAAGTTAACGCTGGATGCTATGGTGTATGTGTTATTTTAGAGCATATCATCAGTTCGACTTTTTTCCTCCAGGCTGGTCCTTTATAATATGATACTTTCTGAGCCAAGTGTATTACTTAGCACTAGAGGTTCATACACAACAACATAAGTAAGCAGAAGATGATCATCTGGTCCGATCTCGCGCCAGCACACTAACCAAGGGGCGCCTTGAGGGCCCCGGCTGATGTAAAAATTCCAGTTGGAACGAGGCCTGATGAGCCATTTGCAACGCCTGAAATTTAACAAAGAAGCATCTAATGTGTTTTGCCGAAGGCTATAGCGTATGTTGGTGTCTTTCAATTTCATACAAAATATCATCTGGTAGCTCGTTACCGCCATGAATTGGCCAAATTCACGGTCCACTGGTGCCAGAGCCTGTGAAAACACTACCAAGCAAATGCCCAAAAAATTACCTATGGGGATCAGGCAAATCTGTGGACGCTCTACAGCTTGCAGCCGATGCAATACGCATTGCAATAATGGCTTGTTAGTTTAAATCGGTACATTTTTACCGAAGATACAGCCTGCTAAACTTTGTCTCAATTTTTAGTGAACACATATTACGCTGTTGTCATGTCGTTTCGATGTTATTTGAGAAGGTATCTCATTGCATTTTGAAAATAAGCCATTATTGCTTTTTAACTGTGATGCAGCCATACTATGGGCTATTTTGGAAGATGCTATGCCACCGTGCATCGTTATGTGATGTGTATCATCAGTGAGTGGCCAACAAGTAGTTATAGGCATGTCTTTGCAATGAAGGCATTTTTTTTATAGCTGAGCCACGGTTTTATGTGATTGTGTCACATCCGGTGATGTGATTGTGCCTCATCTTCGATGGCTAGGGTGCCATTATCTATTCCATCTCACGTCATCTCGTCTCATTTCATCTTATCTCTTCTCATCTAATCTCATCTCGTCTCATCTCATCTCGTGCGATACCTAGGTATTTCAAACTCTTCTGTCGATCAGACCTATACGACAACACAACAGCGCGGAATCATAACCAGTTCGTATATTTGCTCTCTGAATGTCATACACGGCCAAGTACGGAACATACGCGACGAAATATGTGTGTCGGCGTCGCGGGACTGCCTTCAGGATTCACCGATCAGCAGGGCCCGCCGCGTGTGACGTCATGAGGGGGTCGCTGACCAGCAGAGCCCATTAGTTATGTACTGCCGACCACCGGACGCAGCCGGCTGTGACGTCACCAGGGGGTCACCAGTCAGCAATCCCAGAGCCACCAACTACCGGCCGGAGCTACAATGACGTCATAATAGTATGACGCCATACTGTCTTTGGTCGGAAATTCGGCCAGCAGCGCGACACTTTCGGCGGCATGCGCTCAAAATACGCCGAATCTTCACGCTGACGGAAACATATTAACCGCGCTCGGTTTAAACCAATACTTTATCGGACTTTCTGGGGCGCAGTAGCAATAACGGCAGCAGCGACAGCAGCAGCAGTAACAGCAGCAGCAATAGCGGCAGCGGCAGCTACAGCAGCAGCAACAGCAGAGGTAGCAGCAGCGGCGGCTTCACGAGCGCTGCGGCGCGTGTTTGCACGAATTTCTGGTCGGCCGAACGGTCCGGATGACTATGCTCTCTGTGGCGGCGGGCATAGTCCGCCGCGGGGACATGCTTTTGAGATGGGACGCGGAGGGTTTTCTACAGGGCGGGTGGGGTGTTCACACCGACTTGGAGAGGTCGTCGGGGCCGTATAGGTCTGCAGAGGCGCGCCGCTCAGCCAGCAGCTCGGCGATCTGCGAACACAAGGGTGTAACAGTGACTTAGTTACATGCTTGCAAGTTATACGATCTGGTTAATAGGTAGTCATTGGTCAATGTTAATTATTGATTGTTTAATAAATCAAGATGAAACAGAGTCCAAACAGAGCAATGATTGATCACTTCTCTGAAAATGCTTATCTGCACGATAGATAGCTTTGGAATGCTCCAGGTCCGTCATTCATCAGATGTCGGGGAAATTTTCTTCTTCTTCTTTAGGCTGCCGTTTGCAACATCAGTTTGCCAGTTTCATATAGACAATTTGACACCTTTTAGTTACTTTAGGGCGATGCCTATCATTACAGTAACATTCAATTAAAATGATTTCACCAAAACTTAACGCAACCTGATTTGAGAGAACATTGCTGATAAGTGCCGAAACGAGATTCGTTCAAATGTCGTTAGGTCGCCGTAAGGTAGTAATTTAAGGCATACGAGTATGACAGAACTGGGGTGATCGCATGATCGCTGACAATATGTCGCCAGATAATGTTCTTCTTTTGCTACTTTCGAAGTCCTACTATCGGAATGCAATAAATCAGTATTATGCTACACCAAGTATCCGAAAAGCCTTGCCAAAAGGTTAGACAGAAAAAGCGTCACTGACCGCAGGAGCCATTGAATATCAGTCGTCTTTTCCCAGCCGAGACTCGTCATTACGGTGGCTAGATTGAAACTATTGCAATCCTACAGCAGAAGGAACGATCGGACCACAGAGGCGCATCCTCTGCTCGCAGCCCAATGGACGTATAATATGCCGCAAACAGTAACCACCACAAAGAAGAGCTCTAATCCACGTTAGCTCCGTTCGCATGTCTGTCCCTCCCTTGTCCTCCCCGGCAGAATCCCTGCGGCCCCTTACCCGGTCTCCGAGGGTCCGCTTGCCAAACCGGAGCCGGAGGGGGCCGGCAGAGCTCTTCCTGATCAGCTGGTGGTCGTAGGGCGCCCGCGCCAGCTTCTGCATCTGCCACATGTCGTACAGGCTCTCCAGACCTGAGGACAGATTGTGGATGTTCAATACAGACTGTCCAGACCTGCAGAGGACAGACGGCGGGTGTTTGCTGTTCAGTGGTTGGTACGGGCTCTCCAGATCTGATGGAAGGCCACTGGCATTTGGCAAGCGTTCAGTATGCAGTCTTTGATGGAGATTCTCTGGATAATATGACTCGGATATGGCTCTCTGAGACCTGATGAAGGGCGAGTGTTTAGAGTCTCTATGTAGGTATTGAACTGTTGAAGGGCGGCAGCCGGCAGGTATTCAAAACAAGCTTTTTATAAATGTGCTGACTCTTCGGACCTGTGGAGAGCGGTGGGGGCCCGGAACAAACATTCCAGACCTGATGGAGGGGCGGGCAGTGATCACTGATCAGTACCAACTCCATTACTGAGGGGGGCAGGTGTTCAGCACAGGCCATCAATCCGATGACGCCAGGTGCTCACTGTTTACTGCTGATCCGAACGGGACTGTCATCCAGGTTCGGTACAGCTGGAGTTGAAGAATCACTCCGGTAGCTGGTTTAGCCCCAACGCTTGCCAATATTACCCGATGCGGCCTGCCTAGGCAGCGGCGGAACAGCTTAAGCTGCATAGATGTGGTGCCACTATATAAGGTGTGACGCCGGTCATGCACGCATGTCCTTCTACCCTTTTCGTTGACACGCTGTCCAGCTTTCCAACAACTGACTCCACCAGTCAGCACATAAAATTTAATACAATCTTTGGAGCTTATATACATACATTCAAGCGAGTGACAACAATTATACAATCCTAAAATACAATGACAGGCTGTTGTCACTCGCTCGAATATATACAATCATGTCTGATAATTCACTTTGGAGCTTACCTGGAATATGGCAATACGAGGATAAATGATCGAACTAGTTAGCTGATCGTCCTCGTCTTAAATAAGCATGCATCTACATTCTACAAACATTGCTGTGCAGTTTGTGAGGATGCCGTTGCTAATAATGCCTGAGAAGTCAATGTTCCGACTTCCGTGTTAATACTTATTCTTTCTCAAAGAAAAGTGTTTTTTTCTCTTTCTCTGCGTCGTTTCATGTATGCTTGACATCATTCGTAGTTAGTTCGTTGGAGTTTGTAAATTAGTATCAACCATGCTCCCTCCAAGCTGTTCATTTCCAAGCTTCTCGACTCCCAACTTAACATTATACCTACAAGGACAAGCGTTCATGGGGCAGTGTGCACCACTGCCAGCTGTCACAGTTCGATCAAGCCGAACTTTGATTAAAGGTCTTCCTAAGTATTCAGGCACATAATTGCATACCTCTTAAGCTGCACATTCCAATAAAATTTGCATTTGGAGAGCGGTCCATTTCGTCGAACCGTCTTCGGGCTGGGATTTTCTCTCCGCTTGTCCACCCTATTATTGACGACGTTAGGCAGTCTCTACTACCTTATTACTAAGCCCACATATTCCTGCTTATCCCCATACCATCTGCATAGCAAGGCATCAGTTTCAGGAAATGTGTTCGACTCTTATTAGTTATTACGTTTGTCTTTTTGCGAAAATTTGACTAACGACATTGTCGCCGAGTGGAAAGAACCGTGAGGCTCATAGGCTCATAGTCATAATGATCGAATGACGTACTGCTATTTGCGACTGACTGCTATTTGCCGATACAGCCCACATTGCAACCAGACTTTACCCGCGCCGTGCTGGGGGGAGAGTGTTTTTAGTTTTTATGCCCCCCCCCCCAACTTTTTCGCGAATATCTAAAAAAAAAACGGTGGCGCGCAGCGCTGCTGTTTTTGGTACACCTGTTCGCACATCCTTTCCGCACATGTTGTGAAAATTTCAGACCCAGGTCTTTAAGGTCAGGTCACCAGGTCACGTCAAGTGATCTTGCATGAAACAGTTCAAAGGCTCGCTATAGTATAGCTACATAGCTACACCGACGGAGCGATCGCTTTGAAACTTTCAGCAATTGATAAGAGTAGCAGTATGCATAAAATGTATGCCTCGGATTTTTTATATCTGTGACCTAAGGTCAGGCCAATTTTGCGACCTCTCCATTAGGTATAACTCAATGGGAGAAAACTGAAATGCGCCTCTTTTGGACGAATGTCGTTCTAAACCCTCTCAAACAAGCATGACACACTGAATCGAAAAAATGCACCTGTGACCCCTCTGTGTGCCCCTGAGGTCATCTCAGGTCATGATAGGCCACCAGCAGTTTGTTGACTACAACTTTTGATAGAGACGTGCTAGAGCGGTGAAAACACGTCAGCTGTGTTCAGCTCGACGATACGGATCGACTGATATGCAACGTGACCCTTTTCCGGTCAGGTCATGACCTTGACCTGAGGTCAAATTTTCAAAATGACCTTTCAAGGTCAACGTATAGTTCATTCGACGCGTCTCGACGAGAGGAATGCGTTGCTGGCAAAATTGTTATGTGGCTCTCTTGAGTCAAAAGTTATTACCGAAAAACATGTCTCGTGAAAACGGCTATTTTGGCTTTTTCTTTTAAAAGAATAGTTTTTGCCCTCTGGAGACTAAAACGTTGACCTGAGGTCAAATCTGAGAACACCACTCAGAAAGGTCTGTAAAAGGGCTATCAAATGCGCTTTTCTACGGCGCTGTAGCTCTATTAGTTCCCGAGTTAGCCGTTGGCAGTTTCCAAAATTTGTTGAAATGGACTAGATTTGACCTTTGATGACCTCTGGCGACCTGACCTTTGACCTGACCTAAGAAATGACCGAAGTGCTTCCGTCATTATTTTTGACGCTCTTTCGATTGCCGCTTACCGCGTGTCGCTACGTGGCCCAGGAGCCGAGTTAGACGTGGGGGACGTGACCCCCCCTAGCACGACACGGAAAACGCAGGCCACCAGCACGGCACGGGTTAAAAAGCATAACGAAGCTTAAAGTTTCTCGCTTAAATTTGCGCGTCTCTCGCCAAGGAAGACATTTCACTGCGGCCCCCCATTACAGATTATGCACTGCCAGTCAATAGTGGCACGCAGAAATGCTGAACATCATTTCAGTCTGTTGATTTGGGCCAACCAAGGCAATCTTGTTCTATTGATGAATGTATACGACGCCCCACTAACAACTAGTTTGTCCTGTCGTTCCATTAAAATCTAACAGATATTTCGTTGTGGCTTCCTTTCATATCTGATCTTTGACATTCTATTTCGAACGTTGGTTGGTGCTGATGCGAGCAGCCTGAAGTTTGGCGACATTGAATAGGTGATTAGCGCATTGTGCGACTGGGCCGAATGCTGGTTCTCTCATAGGTACAAAGTTGTGATGGCCACAGAATGGGCAGCACAAGTGGCCTGATGGGCCAATCACGTACTCTCGCCTCCGTCAGCCACTTGGTCGCCAATCGGGTCTCCCGAGGACTGACGCAGAAGGCCGAGCGACAGAACATTGCGAACTGTGTCTTTGTTTGCTTATTTATTGGTTTCGGCAACTTTTTTAGGTTGTTCGAGCTCAAACGACGACCTTTGTAAGCTGTGAATGGCTTGAACTTATAGCACAAACATCTATTGTGTCAGAGTCTCGCGCCGCCGCTGAGCATTTGATGGCTTGGTTTTTGGTGCAGTTGTGGGAAGTTACGGGCTTGATTCCTGGTGGTTGTGACTGCTACTGAATAGTGAAGCTCATCACGCTATACTGATTATCTCCTATGACATTGATCTTCGGTAACAATGAAACAAGCATATACCTAATGACAAATTCGAAGGCTATGAAGGCTATGATGAGCTGCGTGTATCGTATCTGGAAAAAAAAATCCGATCTTTATGAATATGATAAACGGAGTTGTTAGTGAGTGTGGACTGTCCCGTGCGCACTGCACACCCTTAGCACATAACCATGCCATGAACTCACACTGCCCGTACTCACTTTGGCTCTGGTCCTGCGCCTTGTGGTCGAAGCCGCACACGCTGGCGGCCTGAGAGCTGATGACCAGTCCGACCAAAAGGCAGCTGACCAGCATCGTGTTCATGACGTCTGCCGGAACACAAACGCACGTCGGTCAGTTTCAGGCATTTTACAGAATCAATAGGTACTGTCAGGTGAGACTGCCAAATTGTCCATGTAAGTTTTCTCATTAATCGGAAGAAATGAAGTTTGATTGTCGTAGGTTTTGGGCGAATGAGATTACGGTAAGATGCGTGCACGGTTTTCCTGTTCTAGTCACTCATTATCGCCTAAAAGTTATTCCGGTTTTCTGCGGAACTATTGAGGGTTGAGTGGACCATTGCGAGGTCTTTTCATGTGTAGCTTACACAACAAAACCAGTCAGTACTTTTGCCAAGTTGTGATACATTTCCTGTTATAACAGTCTTCTACAACAACTTATCTAAAAAGTATCGGTGACTTTCATACTTCCATTTACGTATATACAGCTATAGATCCAGGCGGTTTCAAGCTACTCGTTTTGGCTGAATTTATTAACAATCCCAGCTTTCTTCGAAGTTCGGCATTTCTTGTCAAAAACCAGTCAGGAACGCGATTATGTTTCAGAGGTGACGGCTGTAATTCTGTTCGGGTGAAACGTGTCTGACAAACGAGTTAGCTCTGTGAAACAGTAGAACATGGCCGCGGAGTGAATGGCAAACAGGCGCACAAACGTTGAAAAATATCGCCAGCACCAGCTATTATGGCAATCTCTTGTACAACTACTATTACAAATCTCTTGTACTTATTTTCGTGGGAGGACAGTTGCAAAGTTAGCTAGATGCTGCTTGATGATGACTAAAATGAATAATAAGTATCCTCGTTACTGTATATTTGAATACGCGAACTGATTCACTGCGTTCAAAATTTCCATAATATTCCATTTCAAAGAACAGAGTCGCCTGACTGATTTTCACTAATCGTAATGTGCATTTAGCAGTAAACGTCACACGACACCTTAATGGAAAATTTATCTACCACGAAGCACGGAGGTGAAGAGAAACTTCGTAACGCTCTCATTCATGTGAGATTATGAGCTGCCCGATGGTTGATCCATTGGTTTCGCGTCAGCGCCTAATAATCAGTTTGGAATGTTTAATCACCATGCAACTTTGACGGACCACCGCGAACCCGGAATCAGAGCGGACCGTGACCGACGTAATGAAAAGTTCCCCGGTCAGTGCCACCTATTCTGTTCCTTGCGACAGAGTTCCACACATCCTACAGGGAGCAGTATTTTTATTCGTTATTATCAACCAAAAAGCTTCAGGAGTACGATTTCTGAGTGCAAATAATCAGTGAAAACTGAAAAGCCGACTTAATCACGATTCTATTAATATATCTATCTAAATAGCATGTAATATGTGTGGATCAGATTCCTAAGCACCTGTGTGAGCCTTCTTCCGTCAGGAGGTAATAGCCGTTTTCACGACGGGCTATCCGGCGATTGCACCTAATTTGACCAAATCTGCACCTTATCTCTTTTACAGCAAATATCTTTATTTTATGAGTTTATTTGTGTTTTAATTGATGATACTCTCTGATAATATGACAAAACAGGCATATAAGCAATTAGTGCAACCCTAGCTAATAGCTACTAAGAGACACACTGAACCTAATTTGACCAAATCTGCACCTAATCTGCACCAGATGTGCACCAAATGTGTACCAGATGACCGTTGTGAAAACGGCTATTATTCCCGATTTACTTGGCCACAGGCTCAAGAATTACGTGAGCTGTAACTGCATTCTTCTATCCAAAGAACCTTAGTACCTGCAGGTGACATTTCAGTAGATTATTACAAAGTGAGACTTGATGTTCATTCAGATTGCTGACCGTTCCACAAACAGCGTTATTCTCCTCATCCATTTACTTTTATTAAGAAAGCAGGTTGGGTCTATTTTTCTTCATGTGTATGAACTGGGAGGCAAACATTATCCTGATCCATGCTGCGTGTCAGTTCTTTGGCCGGGGTTCGGATGTTCTCTAATATGCCGGGCTCGAGGATGACCTTTCCAAAATGTCCAATGGCCATGCCAGACCAGTCGGTCGGGTAGCAAAAGGAGTGTATTGTCTGCGTAACACATGCAGAATGACATGCTGTAAAGATGTTATTCTGGTAGGAAAATGCCAGCGGTGAATATAATAGACGCCATATTGTCTGCATAAGGCATGAGCGACAACTTCGGCGCACCTGGCACACACACATGTGTGGGCTTTTGAGGATTACTTTGTGTTACAAATGGAGGCTTTCGTGTCATGATCATGGGCCATCCATTTAACTAGCCTGGCCTGGCCCAGAGGAAGGACTGTTAGTGAATTTCATTTTCGTTCTGGCAGGCCTGAATGTTGATAAATAATATCACATATGATTTCTGGGTAACACCGTATGACATAGTTAAGAGCAACGTTATCTTTTGAGCTTTTGAAGCACTTGCGCTCTTGAGCTCTTGAAGCACTTGCGATGCATCACAGTCTCTCATAGTGAATGTTTTGCAACGTGCTGCTAATTTATAAGATACCCTTAGCACGTTACGTCACATCATACCATTGTGATATGACGTATGTCCGGTAACGTTAGGTGAACCACGGTTTCGACGTTTTTGGGGAAGTAAGTTAATCTATAATTTTTCAATAACTAATACTTTAGTAACTGAGCGATGGCATATCAGATGTATAAAAATGGCATATACTATATGACATATTCCTCCAGTTTCGCGAGGCCACCCGATGGGAGATATTTGCGACGTTTCGCCGTCTGCGTAACAGTTATGGTGTGACATTTATGGCGCGAATGTTGCCGCGTGGGTGGCATCCAGGAGCGGGCGTTTGTGGGCCGGGACGTGGGAGCAGTGTACGAATGACATCGGTCGTTAGACGTGTACGTACAGAGAGTGATATGTCATGTGAGACATGACACTCACACTGCCGTCTGTTTAAAATACATGTATTTTCGAAATCATCAGAAATACATAAAGTTCCAGATGAATAGTAAAGTGCGTAATTGCTATGGTCGCTTGACTTCATTGTCTAACATCCAGCGGTTGTAACCGCATTGTGCTTTGTTTTATCGTGGCAAGTAACTACAGAAAAGAAATTCAAGTATCATTGTATATTTCCGAGTTGTGCCGTTTGCAAGGCAGGGCATGCGCCTTAAAATTCCAGAGAAAAAAGATGGCGGACCAATTGTGACTAATGAGCAAAGCTATCAGAGCTCAATATTGCAGAGTGCCGTTTCTATCGAGTGTCGAGCCAGTGTTAGTCGTGCCTGGAAGGTAAGTATCCCGCAGTGCCGGCGAGCAGCTGCGGCGCGTGGACGGCACCACCCGACCCTCCGTGCGCCGCCGTATGGTCGACCCCGCTCTGCAGCAGCCGGGTCCCACATCTCCCATAGGCTCTATCAATAGGCGACGGTACTGGAGGCACAATGGCAGCCATGTTAGCTGACGTATCGCGATATTTAGCCTCGTAAGGAACTTTTGTTCGGGAATGATGTATAAATAGCGCTTGGGAACGCCTTTAGAAACCTCTCGATATTGTCCTGAAAGAATAAAAATACATTACCCACACATATTTTCATTTTTTAACGAAATAAGTGTTGAAAAATATTCGCTGCCTAACCAATGAAATGTACTACTTTATACAATCGTCGCATTTGCTTTTTAGCGAGCTGGGATATTTGGACGCGATCTGCTTCCAACAACGTAAAGATGGAGTTCGCTGTGTCCCGCTGTGTTCGTCAGCGCATAAAATCGCAAATGTGATGGATTTCAAAGCTGAGAAACGAAAGCTTATTATCACTTTCCAGAAATTCCAAACATACCATATATTAGGTATATAAACATAGGTATATGCATTTATATTCGTCCATAAAACCTTCGTTTACAGTAACTCTCGATTAGGTATCGAGATTGCTGTATAGCGTGCACTGCTCACCCAAACAATTACGACTTAATTAGCTCATAGATATAGAAGAATCTAGATTGATTAATCACGAATCGCAATGAATTGCCTTTGATTTATCCACTGTCCATCTTCATCCAATGTATAAACGGCAAAAGCCGCCACTTGGTATTCATGAAAGATCTGTCTCGTTTATTGGCTCGCGTTCTTTCTCGTCGTGTGTTGTCCTAAGGAATCAGCCATTAGGAAGATAGAGACTGAGAGCTGAGAGGAGCTCTGGGAGCTGATCTGACGGCATTGGAGCAGTGGGAAGATCAATCGGGGCCGTCCATCGCGATGGAGACGGGCCTGCGGTGGGCTGGGCTGACCCATTCTCCCTGTGTGCATGCGAGTGTATCGTAGGGGACCGTTCCGGGGTGGCCCAGACTGACCATGGTATAGGTATGCGAGTACCTACAGTCGCTCTTAAAAGTCGCTCAGCCGTTCCTCGGTCGGGCTTGATGGATCCAACGCACCAATGCGCGGTAATTTCAAGAGTGACTGCATGCTTTCCTTATGAGAGGGGCCCGGGCCCAGGATGGTCCTGCGGACTGCGACTCCCTGTGCCACCGGAGAGACCGGCCCGCGCGGAGGGACCATGGTCGAGTGTAGTGATGTCAATTACGGAAAATCTTGATACCGATGCCAAACCAAATACCAACATTAACCATGGAAGAATACCGAAACCGAACCAACTTGGTAAACTCAGGAAAATGCCAAGTTTTTACAAAATTCACAGCCTCTTTTACATTAGGGACGATTCACAATACCAACAAAATACCGAATGCATTAGCCTTGAAATACCAATTACCAAGTTGGAATCGGTTTGGTATCGGTATACCAAAAAGTTGGTATCTGATTGACATCTCTAGTCGAGTGTGATTCTGTGACTTAGGGTGTAAGACTGCTCGAACAGCCCAAACTGACCCGGTTAACCCTCCAGCAGATGGGACCGCTATTGACGACCCTGGGTGACACCGGTTTTGCTTTGGCATGACTTGTCTCCCGGTGTCGAAGTGTTCAATGCAGCTGCACAGATCATTTAGCCCATTTATTGAGTACCTAGATGAGCTAGGAAAGAACGTTTATTGGTCTGTACTCTGAACAAGTGATTGTCTTCGCAAAAAAATATACCAAAGAGGCAATTAGAAGGGATGATGCAGAAATGGATAGAAAGCACAGTAATCCATCTTCCTCGGCATGCTAGCTGGCTATTATATGTCAGCGATTAGGAAAGATTAGGAAGCGCGCGCAAATAACGGCATACCAATTCATTACTGTTGGCCTTAAATACCGCGAAATATTGTATGTGAGGGTATAGATAACATGTGAGGGCATAGATAACATGATTCAGGTTATCTATGGTGAGGGCAATCTGCGTGTGAGCTCAAAAATATCACGATATGTACAAAATCAGTTTCATGAACGGCACGCATTTTAACAGACTGTGCAAATGTGCAACGAAGTATAATGGGCCCCAGTGGCTCTTTGTTGTAGGTACTGCAAATTTATGTCTTTATGTCTTTAAGTCACTAATCGTTGACGAATTTTGTCCTCTTGAAAGCATACTTTCTTTTGTTTTTACCTGCTGTTTCATCACTTTTTGCCTTAAATTTTTAAGTTATTCCCGACTTCTGCTGAAGCTCTTTGAACTATTTCGTTTCCTGTTTGCTCACTAAAGCTGCTTTTTACGTAAATCTTCCCTTGTCACAAATTTGTTTTGTTTTACCCACCTTGCGTTCAGAGATTCGAAGTCCTATGAGTTCGTCTTTTAAAGTTCGTTGTCCCTCGTGTTGTTGTAGCTACAATACTAAAATTATACGGAAGTTGAAAATGCCCTCAACTCAAACATTTTGGCTATGTCAACGCTTAACCCTCGCAGGTAGTCTTCCTGCTCTGCACTCAGCATTTTTAGAGCTAGAAGGCTGATTTTTCGTATAGCTGCTCCTCTATTCTTTCTTGATGTCCACTGAAAATTTCAAGTTTCTGTGCTTTTTGGTTTCGGAGATATGACCTTGTTTTTCAGGTCATGTCATGACCCAAATGGCCAATTCTCAACATCTTGCGTTGACTATGGGCCTTGTGAGCTTTTGACACCTTGATTTCGGCCTTTTTGCCAGTCTTACCTCCCACCTATCATGGAACATGTTGTTCGACGATGTAGGGTAGACCGGGGCAAGTCGCCCCGCCGAGGTAAAACGCCTCACCGATGTTTCTCGGAACTGGCAGAGTTCTGGGGAAACATCCTCTCTTCTATAAAACGTGCACTATATGATCATTATATGAGCAGACTGGAAAGAAATTGTGATGACTCTTTCGGGAGATATAGCCAAAAATGTGTTTTTTGAGTGATTTTTATGTTTTGTTGTCAGATTATGCATCATGGCGTTCTTTTATGGTCCACATCAGGTTAACGACTTTTATGTATTTTGAACAACTATTGTCTAACGCTTATCATGCCGGGTTGTTTCGTGTTAAATTATGTCTTGCTGGAGTGCAAAGCGTTGTTCTCTGACCGAACTACGTGATGGGGTAAAACGCCCCAGTAGGTCGTGGGGCAAAAAGCCCCATGGGGCGTTTTACCTCATGTGTTGTTCGGGCTACCCACTTTCTAATGTTCGGTAGCTGGCGAACAGTAAGTTTCTATGCCTTTATGTGTATTTTTCTCAGCAACTGGATGGCAAAGGAAGTATTCTGTAAACATTTGCATTGCAATAATTTATTATTTGGTCTTATGAGGCAGGTGAAAAACCTGCTCATACAATAGTATCATAGCTGAACACCTGACAGGATGGAATGTGCTAACTTCAGAGCCGTGCCTCCAGAGGTCTAACGGACCTCTCACATAAGATTAAGCCAACTACCATGTTAAATCTGTAATCTAAAGTATGGGGCTACTTGCCCCAGGCCGTGGGGCGTTTTGCCCTGGGGTTGGGGCAAAATGCCCCATTTGCAGTTGCTTCACAAATCACTTCCTAGCTTGGAGTCCGATCATAAGTGAATGAATTTGAGGGGTGCAATTTAAAGTAAAATGTCCAAAGAACGCATTGAGCACAAATTTGGCCTTCCAGGTGATGTGGGACAAAATTTATGTAGCAAAATAAATTATCTGGGGCGTCTTGCCCCAGGCTACCCTACAGATGTCAAGGTCAGGGTCAAGGTCAACCTAGGTCATCTAAGATAATTGCGTTTTAGGCAAGCGGAATGTACTTTTTGTGAATTTTTTTGACTGCATTTTTGGTAAAAGCTTCTCAGATCATGATTTCATGTAATATGGACACATAAACAATCGGTGCACACATCATTATACACACAGACACACACAGACATCTTGACCTAACTTGACCTGAAATGACCTCAGCAGCAAAAAACCCGGTCGGGTAGTGTGACTAAGGGGTTCTCGCTGGCTTGGCACCAGAAAACGGCATCGCCATCGGTATATGATAAGCAGCGCACTTGATATCCAACGGTGACCCAAAACAGCAACTTTTTTTAGTTTGACCTGACCTGGAAGGTCAATGACTGACCTGAGAAGGTAAAACTGGGTATCATTGGATTCGTCTCTTCCCAAAAAATCTTTTTGGTCTTTACCGCTAAGCTCTATCTCCAACAGGAACGAAATGGCGCGGGGGGGGGGGGTGGTGGCAACCCCCCCCCCCCCCATGTGCGTTCTAGGATGGGAAAATGGCATGTGCGGGCGAGGGTTAAGATAAGGGGGCATTTCACTTTCCGAAAAAATTTCACGTTATAAATTTTGCCTACAAATGTGCTCGATATCTGCATACCCAAATTAAAGCAAGTTTGATTTTGCTTCGTTTTGATGTAGGTGTGCTGTTCCTGTTTAATAGTTATCCTTATGCTTAAACCTTTTGCTGGAATCGACCCGAACCACCGTTGGCAGAATCACTTATGGTTGAAATGTGGAAACTGATTGAATCGAGGCATGAATCGTAATTTTTGATTTGCGTGTTTTTGGACAAATATCACCTACTCCCAGATTCTTTTCCTTCAAGCTGCTGGTGTCAATTCCTTTTGAATTGTTAATTTGGAAGTAAAATGTACTTTGAAAGCTAACTTTGGTTTAATTTGGTGTGCAAAATCGTCGAACGCCAACACATGTAATTTCCAACACGAGGCACTCCCTGCCTTACCGGCGCCCGCGCGCGGTCGCCTCACCTGAGATATGGGAGGGTGCCGGTATCGGGTGGAGGGCCGCTCAAACAGAGGTGGTGCCGCTGCGGAGCCGGGACACGGACAGTCTGAAACGGGCCGACTGCGCTGCTGGCGGCCGGCGCGCCTTATATTGGCGGCGGGGGCGCGCAGCCGGCGGCGGCCGCGGCTCGGGCGGCGCCGCCCCCGCTCCCGCCCACGGGCGCCGCACATACACGGCCGGCGGCACGGCGCGGGTCGGGTCGGCAGACCAGCATAGGACAGGGACACGACTAAGGTCATTGGCGAGCTTGAGAAGATCTAGAAAACTTATCCTCCCCCCCCCCCAAAAAAGAGAACCCAAATGTTTTTTTGAGGGTTCATCATACATGTGATCGAAAACGTGTTTTAGGCACCGAGACACAAGCATGAAACCGCTTATACCTAATCACTGAAAACACGTATTGCAGATATTATTTATAAATCAAGCGACTGCTAGGCATGACAACAAACAACTGTTAGACACTAATACCCGTAATTCTGGTAGTTTTGAGATTAGTGAACGCGTTCTTTGCTTATGGGCAAAATAAAGATATCCCAGGGAATTGCATCAATTGTAGGTGCTGCGTGTTTGCGCGCCGCTTTTAAAATTATACGGTAATATTCCGCCCATCAAAGCTGAAAAGTGTGGAGCGTCTGCTCTTCGTTGGGTTTACGCGTGGTACTGTATTATTTTCGGCTGTCCATTTGCGAGTAGAGTATAGTGTTTCAGAACTGCAAATGGATGCCGTTTCGAATGATCCGACGCTTATATGACAAATAACTTTCTTTGTCAATCTCAAGGCCTTGCCTGAGCCATGTTCGACGGTTGCTTTGATTTTGCCCCGTCTGTGATACATGCTACCTGCCTTTAGCTCCGTTCCTTCAGGCGTGAATAACAATTTATTCGAAGCAATGATAGTTGACGTTTCAAAGAAATTACCCGCCCATTCATTGAACACAATTTGTTTATGCTTATATTCATTTTTGGGGCTGGTTCAGTGGTGTTTGTTCATTGTTGTGATGCCTACATACCTGTCGGTGGACTTACGAATAACATTTATTTATTTGCAGCATACAGCGTGTATTTGATTCTAACGAAGGGAAGCTTAATGCCCAGCCACTGCCTAATGTTAGGAGCGGTTGGAATCCATTTTACTGAATGTAAAGTTCCGGTGATAGAATGTTTGGGGCTATATCAGGCGCAACAACTTTTATGCACCGATGTCTCGGAACTTAGCAATATATCCTCGCCAAAACTTCTTTTTGCGTCACTGCCCGTACTCAACACAGGGCTGCTTTAATTTTGTTCTTTGCTCTAGCCTCGAAGCAGCAGTGTGGATGCATCTCACTACCCAACTCTATTCCAACTCTCCCAACATATCCATACATAATAACACATTGGCTTTATGCTTACAACTTACTACGCAAACAAAGTTAAACTATGCTACTCAATGCTTTGCTACTCAATGCTAAAAATGCTTTTTCTTACTTAAACGCACCAGCCACACTCATTTCATTCATTTCCGTCGTTTTTGAATTTTGCCACTTCCGAAATGAATGTATTCTTTTACACATTTTTCGGCTTCCCTTGAGATGCAAATCGCCGCAATGACGTTGCAGAAATCTACCGTCGACGGGCAGCTGCTAGAAGCGTCCCTCGGTGTGATGTTTACCGGAATCTGGAGCGGCGTGAGGTCAGGACACCCGTCGACAGCTTGCATCCACGATTAGTGGCCTGCTGGCTAGCCGTCGACCTCTAAAGGTCATTCTCCTTTTCACCCGAGTCACGTAGAATTGGAAGAGTCACACCGCACATCAAATCGGCATTTGTCGGCAAACGCCCATGTGGCCGCTGCACTCAAACGGTTCGCATGGAAAGGGCGGTTTATGTATGACTGGTGCTCAGCATATGCCGCATGGATCTTGAGAAGGTCAAGCATTACATGCTCTGAACAGCCGCAGACAAAAGCAGCTTCAGAGAATGTTTACTTTTTTGTTGATGGCAAGATTAACAAGAAGTCATGAATTACAATGCATCGAATGTCAAACTTTTTTGTTAGACGACGGTTTGGAATTGTTCTAGACGAGAATGTTACAGTTTTCTTTACAGTTTTCTCCGTCAAAATTCAACTTCTTCTTAGTTCTTTGTAAAATTGCAGTGTTTAGCCGTATTGTTTACATCGGCCCATATAGGTTTGCAGCTTCCATTTTTTTCGGAATTGCTGGCGACTGATTGAAGGCATATGTTCGATAGCTACTTAATTTATTGGAATTGTTTTTTTTTTAACACGAGATCGATATAAGGTGAGTCCAAAGCTAGCTACCTTGGATCAGTGCCTACTTCTTCATACCCGAGATAGCCTTAAGTTCACGCTCTGTGATGTCCTCTCATTGGATAAACATTGACATGCTTAGCCTGTAACGTTTACTAGCCAGCAGATATTCGGATTTTTATTTGATTGAGACCTTAGTGTGACTGTTTGGCCAGAAAGTCAGGTATTTAGGGGAACTGGCGCGACTTACGTAGGTAAAAAATGTGAAAAATGTTCTGGCTTCCTTTTTCTCTGCCAGATGACTGACTGAATTCAAGGTGCTCGAACAACGATAGAAAATTAATTTTTTTTTGTAAAAAGTTGGATAAATTTAGTCGATGTTTGGTCTGTTACCTTGGGATATGTTACGTCACGTGTATTGCGTTTATTCTGCTTATCGCCGTTTTAAGCTCACTTTTAAAATCACCGATCAATGTAAACACCACCATTTGGTTATGCTTTGAAATGTATATGTATTTTCTATCGATTGCACTTGGAACGGCATAAAATAAAGTGGAGCGCAGTCGTGAAGATATGCGGAGATCGGGTGACTACCTGGCGGCTCGTTATACAGTGAGACCGGGGGAGGTGTTACAGAGAAACGGACCATAATGGGGGCGGGGACAGTCGAGATCCACTGAGATCCGAGATCCACTGAGATCCGTGTCGGTGAGTACGTAATGCAGGAGATCACTGCGACGTCAGGTAAGTGACGCCGCGCTACAAAACAAAACTGCGAGACCGGCCGAGCCGGCGGATTGCACAGTGGGCCCCGGTGCCGCCGCGGCTGTGTGGGAAAAGTCTCCCGTCCTCCCCCGCGCTCGATCGCACGATGAAGAGAGGCCGCCGCCAGCTGGGCACCTAGCTACGCTCTACGATGCGCCGGAGCTCGTATATCGCTCCGGCCGTGAGGGAACGAAACGCGCGACCACCGACCGAGCCATCCGTCGCCGCGACTCAGTCCGCCTCTCACCGACGTCAGTGGGCGTACCGGTGACATCACCACACGTCATACTCAGCCCAGCCGCGTCGGAGCCGCCCCCCGTCACAGAGGCCAGAAACAGACACACACACTCGACACGGGACCACGGAGACGGCAGCGCAGCGCGCACCCCGCCCTCGACACAGCGCACACGGAGAGAAGCTTTGGCCACGAGGTTTGAACCTGGCCGCCGTCGCCCTGTCGGACTCGTCCTGGCGGCTCGGCGCCGGCGGCGGAGAGCGGCCGGAGTGTCCGCTGGGCGCGGCCGGCGGCACACCGCAGGGGCTCGTCCCGGCCACTCCGCGGCACTCAGCGCCCACAGGAGTGACCGGGAGCGCCCGGCGAGTCGCGCGCGCCGCCTACAGCACGTCCAGCACGTTCTTGCGGGCGACGAGGCCGACGCGCTCGTTGCGCGCGCAGAGCAGCCAGTCCTTGTCGACGACGCCGACCACGCTCATGGCGTCGTGCCGGTTGTAGGATAGGTAGCTGCGGTCCGAGGCGTGGTAGTGCGCCAGAGAGCGCACCCTGTCGGAACAGAGGTCAACAGGGGTCAGTAGAGGACAATAGGAGTCAGTCCGAGGCGTGGTAGTGCGCCAGAGAGAGCACCCTGTCCGAACAGAGGTCAACGGGGGTCAGTAGAGGACAATAGGAGTCAGTCCGAGGCGTGGTAGTGCGCCAGAGAGCGCACCCTGTCCGAACAGAGGTCAACAGGAGTCAGTAGAGGACAATAGGAGTCAGTCCGAGGCGTGGTAGTGCGCCAGAGAGCGCACCCTGTCCGAACAGAGGTCAACAGGGGTCAGTAGAGGACAATAGGAGTCAGTCCGAGGCGTGGTAGTGCGCCAGAGAGCGCACCCTGTCCGAACAGAGGTCAACAGGAGTCAGTAGAGGACAATAGGAGTCAGTCCGAGGCGTGGTAGTGCGCCAGAGAGCGCACCCTGTCCGAACAGAGGTCAACGGGGGTCAGTAGAGGACAATAGAGGTCAACATACGCTAAAAATGTTGACGAAAGTTAAAAGAGGATCATCAGTTGTCAACAGAAGGCAATCACAGGTCAAAGTAAAGCAACAGAGGTCCACAGAAGCCAGCAGAGGTCAGCAGACTCTGCGAAGGTCAGTGAGGTGTGCAGAAGTCAGGTAACTTAGCGAAGCCTTGGGCAGAAAGGTCGTCGAACTGGTACTGGTCGCAGGGTTCAGCCGACACTGTCAGGGGTCACACGGTCCCCTGGACTTGACTTTACTGCATGGCTCTGTGGCAATGAACGGTGCTGACCTACGAGCTCAAATATCTGCTCCGTGCTGATATCCTTGCTGGTAACTAGTATATTACCGCACTATCGCCAAACAACCACGGGGAACTTGCTTTAAAACGAGGCATCGATTTATTACTGCCTGTTTCAATCCTTAGCACGCTCCATCAGATAATGACAAAGACGTGTTGTTTACGTTTAGTGGAATCCTCTCCAGATGAGCTCACCAATCTCACTTCATGAACAGTTTTCGATAATGATTAGCCCAATGACTCGTATGATGAACGTTTAAAAGAAGTTCCTTAAACTACGTGCTACATAGTCCACCATAGCCTGTCGAGTGAGGACAGATCCATAACATAACTGACAGTGGACAATGGGGTATGGCCTATCAGAAAAAAAGTTATCGATCTTCACTTGATGTAAATAAAACAGCAAATTTTGCAATATGGTGTGCTAGAAACGACTTTATTTGCATTGTAAAGTAGGCCTTTCGTTAGTAAGATATTCAGATATTTCATGTCATTAATGATTGCTTCTGCTTTGATTTTACAAGGACAAAATATTATCTGGCTGCTGGCGGTCTCGGCTCTGAGCCAGACCGACCATATTTTGACAGTGGTTTCAATACGATTACGTGCCTCTGTAAAGTTGTTGAAGCTACCTTTAAAACTACAATCCTGGACGTCGGTATTCAGACGCACTAGAGTGCGAAGCAAAATGCAAATACCGGAGTTCATCCAATCTGGGAGGATTAAACCGCCCAGCGCCACAAACTGGTCTAACTTTAGACGGGAAAACTAACTTCCTCATGTCCCATCGGCTGATATTGCTATTACGTTTGTTATTTTGGGCGCTTCTCAACTCATGGATTAGGATTGTGATTGAATTAAAAAAATATAATACGAGGCACCGCAGGCAAAGATAATATTTAAGGATTGAAAAGCGTATATCTGGCATCTCTCACCCTGTTCAGATGTGGAGGACGTGAAATGATTTTTGCTGTAGTGTTTTATAAATCATCAAAGCATTTTGATATGGATAGAGACAACAAACAATATTTTCTCATGCGTAATAATGTAAATCGCATACCTACGAATTACGCAGCATTATTTAGAAATGCCATATGACCAGTAAAACGCCTTTTGGGCGAAGAACGAGCGAGCGAGATAGTGAGCCCTGCACGTGCGGAAGGGCGAGAGGATGCTTCCAACGGGCTTACGCAAAGCACCCTTCTAACTGGTCGCTAGCGGTGTGCCAAATTTGAACGCAATCGGCCCAGCCGTTCCTGAGATCTGGAAGCGGCATTCTGCACGTGCGCACGTGCAAACGGGGTCCAAAATGACTTTTGCACGGCACCCTACTAACTGGTCCCCAACCGTGTACCAAATTTGAGCGCAATCGGGCCAGCCGTTCTCGAGATCTGGAAACGCCCCCTGCACGTGCGCACGTGCAGTAGCACCCTAACCGCAACACATGGGAATGCATTGCCTGGTGGGTGCCTACCTGTATGCCAAGTTTCAGCGAAATCGCCCCAGTAATTACCGAGTTACTGGAATGGGAACAAATTTGGCACCTCTTATTGTTGTATTTTGCACGTGCACTGGGGGTGACCCACATGCATCGAGGGTATCCTATTTTGGGTAGAAGGGATGCTGCTACCCTACAAAAATTACCGCAAGTCAATCGCCCAAGCGGTTGCTTAGATATGAGCCTCTCAAAATCACTACTTTTGCAAAACAGCTTGAACACCCTTGACTTTTCACGTGGCACGTGCCACGACGGTCACTGAGATGTATCAAAAGTAGTCAATTACGGGGTAGAAGAGATGGGGTACCCGACAAAAAAGACCGCAGGCCAATCGGTCCAGCGCGGCGGTTGCTGAGATATAGGCCTCTCAAAAGCGTTACAGGCCGGGCCGGGCCGGGCCGCTCATACTGAGATTTTTCCGTTATATTGAAAAGACTCACTTCGCTCGCTGCGCTCGCTCGCTCGTAATTACGGAGCGAGCGAAGCGAGCGTAGTCTTTCCTTAGATTAACGGAAATTTCTGAGTATGAGCGGCCGGCCGGCCGTGCGGACGCTTTTGCGAGGCTTATATCTCAGCAACCACTTGACCGATTTACATGCGGTAATTTTTGTAGGGTAGCTTCATTCCTTCTACCAAGTATTGGACTATTCCCGATGCATGTGGGTGACCCCTTATGCACGTGCAACGTGCAAAACGAAGAGGTGTCAGTTTTGTAATTGTTGCAATATATCGGTAACTACTTGGCCGATTGCGCTGAAAGTTAGCATGTAGGTAGGCACCCACTAGGCACTGCATATTCATGTGCCAGAGTTGGGGTGCTGCTGCACGTGCGCACGTGCAGGGGTCGTTTCCAGATCTCGAGAACGGCTGGACCGATTGCGCTCAAATTTGGTACACAGTTAGGGACCGGTTAGTAGGATGCCGTGCGCAAGTCAGTTGGGACCCATTTTGCACGTGCGCACGTGCAGGGTGCCGCTTCCAGATCTCGAGAACGGCTGGGCCGATTGTGCCCAAATTTGGCACATCGCTAGAGACCGGTTAGTAGGGTGCCGTGCACAAGTCAGTTGGAGGTACCCCCTCGCAATTTTGCACGTGCAAGGCCCACCCTCTCGCTCGCTCCGTTAGTCGCCCCAAAAGGCGTTATATTGGTAGGTATGTTCACTCGTACGCTTGTGTCCTCTGCAGATTTCACAATTTACATTGACATATCATGTGACTCATGTCACTGCTGGGAAAGCTGATGTGCTTAGCGGTCACTTGCCAGCTCATTTAATTACCAAGTTTGCTAATTGAGTTTATTACGGAGCGAGCGAAGCGAGCGGAGTCTTTCCTTAGATTAACGGAAATTTCTGAGTATGAGCGGCTGGCCGGCCGGCCGGCCGTGCGGACGCTTTTGCGAGGCTTATATCTCAGCAACCACTTGACCGATTTACATGCGGTAATTTTTGTAGGGTAGCATCATTCCTTCTACCAAGTATCAAGGGCGGCGCCACCGTGGGGGCAGTGGGGGCAGACTGCCCCCACTGGCAGGAGGCCGTGGGGGCAAGACTATGTTTTTGCCCCCACAAAATTTGGCTGATGTATGGGAACAGAAGACCGGTGCAACATTCATTATAGGCGGTTATAATAGTACGCCTGTTTTGACGGTCCTCGTATCAAGTGCGTCAGCAGAACGTTCGTTCTCGGACGGTCTGTCGCATATCTCCTACTCCCACTCATTCTCCTGCTCATTTTCATTCACCAAAAGGCTGCCCTCGAGCTTGATCTCGAGGAGATTGAGAAGCAGTTTATCAAAAGTCGGCCAGAGAAGAGATCACCCTCTTTTGGGAACCCTTAGACTGAGACTGAGCTCAGAGAGGTATGACAAAATGTGATAGGTATGTAGGTACCGGGTGGCCCAGAAAAAACGTTCCCAATTTTAAATCAATATTTCTCAGAAAGTGATAAAGATACAACCTTGAAACTTCCAATAGTCAATGCGGCATATATTTTCAGTAAATGGTATGATATTTATGTTATTCGGTTGATTACTTTTTAAACGGTTCGTGTTTCTAGCATGCCATGTAAAAATCACTTTTTTTGCTCAGATGTTTACTAAAAATGTCAGTGAACGGGCCACTTCCATCTCGGCACCACGGCCTGCAGCCATGACTGCTACTGGCACTATAGTCTCATTGATGGTTCAGGCCTCAGGGTGACACATTCCCTCTAGCATTTATCCTTATTCGGTCGTTTTACTATTTGATCTTGAAAGGAGGGCGATCAGCTGTAACCCATGCACCGTGTCACTCCTTTTGCTCGAAACAGAACTTGTGTTGAAACGAATGGCATCCATTAACACAATTTTGGCTTAGTATTTGGATATTTAGTACATAAGTGGGACAAAAATATTAAAAATAACAACACACGTGCTGGTATCATTCACGTATTCTATTTTTTCTATTTTTTCCTAACATGGTACGTCTAAGCCAATCATTACTACCGTTCAACAACGGCAAAAAAAGCAAAAATGTCTTACTTAATCCAACATAAGATTGCTGGCTTGAAAATGATAGTACAGTGTTATAATTTGGCATACCAATGCGCAAAGAAGTGACGCAAACTTGATGAAAATTTTGGCTCGTTATTTGCACTAGAATTTGAGATATAGGCCTCCAAAGTTCGGAACGTTTTTTTTGGGCCACCCGGTATATCCCGGGTTATCTGGAATTGTATGTGGGTCGCCCTTATGGAGCTTATTCTCGTACCTATATCAATCGTATGTGAGAGAATCGCACATATATACGTACTACGGGGAAAAGGAGAAATAGGTACTGACCATAGTTTTGAGGAACACACCATTTTACATCTCAACGAACAACATAACGTTTTCACAGGTTTGTGTCTCGCAATCTAGTTTTATAGTTTTATTTCGGCCGGGTCCGGGGGTAATCCTAACCACCGCAGCCCGGGGTAGCCCTCCCCCCCGTTTAACTCTGTTAATAAGGCAGCTACGGAAACAAAAATGGTACCAAACGAAAAGTATCTATGAGAAGATTCTAAAGCACCTAAACTTTTTGACCTTAGGTCAGTTTTCAAGGTCAGAATTCAAGGTCAAAGGCAAAAACCGGCATTTATGTAGTGGTCTCAAAGTACGTGTTCCAGAGGACGGCATGGTGCATAAAATCGGCTAAAAGGGATGTTGAACAAAAGAAGAGAATCCGTGGATTCCGATGATGTGCATAACATTCGAATGCAAGGTCACGATCATGCTCAAAATTGACCACAAACTTTGCACTTTTTCTTATATCTTGTATACTAAATTCCGAGATGTTTTGATATGTTTTCAAGCTTAGCGGACCCCTATTTGTGCTTTAGCTTACGATACAAGGCTGCTACAAGGTCAAAGTCACAAGAGAGTACCTATCCTTGCTAGAGGCTATTTCACTATTCAAGTCAGGCATAATAATTAAGACATGTTTTGCCATACTGAGGCTCTAAATGAATGCTTACAGCAAAATGGATGCCAGAGGCCCAGAATCGTGATCAGCAGCTACGAAATCATCACAAATGACCTTCCATGTGTAAAAAATCAACCAAATGTCATTCGAGGTCACATGAGGTCAACATAAAACTTGACCTTTTCCAAACAATATATATGTCATTCGACGCGTCTCGACAAGGCTAATGCGAAGGTACCACTGCCGTAGCTCCAGGACCATTTTTGTTGAAGTTATTTGCGAAAAAAAAAGAAACTAAACCCCAGCTCGGGGTCGTTGCCCTGACCTCTGACCTCAGGTCACCAAAGTTACTTAAGTATTTTTTTTCTAGGTCAAATGCTACACAACCGTGCTCGTTATTTGTCTTTATCTCTAAAACTCAATTTTTGGCAGCTGGTTGAAGTTCACGTCTGTGACGCCGAAGTTTGCCGTGCAGGAGCCTAAAAAATCGGCCCTGAGACATTATCAAGGAGGCTAGGTTCAAATTTTTTGCTTCAAAAGATGTCAAATTAATGGGGGATAAGGTACAGCAAGTTTCGTCTTTCTATCCCTAAGCGTTCGTGAGGTATCGCAAATATTCGCCAGGGGGAGGCGAAAAACGCCCCCCCCCCTTCCGGGCCCGCGAGGGTTAATGGTTAAACTCAATACGCCTATGCATGAAACCTGAAACCAAAATAATTTTGAATGACAACATCTAGGGACAAGGTGCTCATGGATTTTGCAGATCGGCGTTATCAGACAACAGTCGGGTCAGTCTCAAGCTTGCCCCCACTGGCGAAAATTCGTGGCGCCGCCACTGCCAAGTATTGGACTATTCCCGATGCATGTGGGTGACCCCTTATGCACGTGCCACGTGCAAAACGAAGAGGTGTCAGTTTTGTAATTGTTGCAATATCTCGGTAACTACTTGGCCGATTGCGCTGAAAGTTGGCATGTAGGTAGGCATCTACTAGGCACTGCATATCCATGTGCCAGAGTTGGGGTGCTGCTGCACGTGCGCACGTGCAGGGGTCGTTTCCAGATCTCGAGAACGGCTGGACCGATGGCGCTCAAATTTGGTACACGGTTAGGGACCAGTTAGTAGGGTGCCGTGCACAAGTCAGTTGGGATCCATTTTGCACGTGCGCACGTGCAGGGTACCGCTTCCAGATCTCGAGAACGGCTGGGCCGATTGTGCTCAAATTTGGCACATCGCTAGAGACCGGTTAGTAGGGTGCCGTGCACAAGTCAGTTGGAGGTATCCCCTCGAAATTTCGCACGTGCAAGGCTCACCCTCTCGCTCGCTCCGTTAGTCGCCCCAAAAGGCGTTATACTGGTAGATTATCATTAGACTTCAAGACTGTGTATAATTTAATGCGCTTTCTATTTTAGGTGTTTGGCATAGTGGTATAATTGGCAGTTCTCCCGAAAACACACGAGACGTTCGTCGTAAACAAGGCACAATGTTCGACTGGTTGACCCGTTGCTCCGGCTGACTGACCTTTTCGTTGGCTGTTTTCCGTCGGCGGGCGACGAGTCGTGTTCGACGGCTGCCCGCTGTCGCTGCCGCTGCCGGGCGCCGGCCGACGAGGCGCGGCTCGAGCCCTTTGCGCGGTTCTCCTCGTCCTTCTCCTGCTTGGGGCTGAGCAGGCGCGCCGAGGCGGGCCCGCCGGCTCCGGCCGAGGGCTCACACCGACCCAGACGCCGCCTCAGCGTCCCGCTGGCGTCTCCACCGGCCGCAGACGACGGTTTGGGGATCTGGGACGGCCTCCTGGGGACGGGGCCGTCAGCGGCGGCGGTCCGCCCGGCGGACACCGGCCGAGGGATGCGCGACTCGCGCTTTGACGACGGCGTCTGGCCCTTGGCCATCTTCTCCCATTGCTGCTGCAGCTTGTGGAACTTGTCCTTGTTGGTGCGTGGAGTCGGTAGCCCGGACTTCGGCGCGGGGGCGGCCTCGGCGCCGGCCCGCAGTCGGCTGGCCGCCGCCGGCTTCCGTTTGGGCTCGCTGCTCGGCGGGGGCGTCTTGGCGGCGGGCGGCGGCGGCGTCCGCGGCTTCGGCTTCTCTCCCTCCATCTCCACGTCTTCGTCCTCTTCCTCCTCCTCGTCCACCTCGTTCAGCTCGTTGTCGTCGTCGTAGTCGTCTCGATCGTTATCGTTGTCGTTGGCCACGCTCTCCGACAGAATCGCGTCCAGCGCCTGCAGCAGCTTGGAGCTCAGATCCAGACCGCTCCACCGTTTTTTGTCTGTTCGCGTCTCCTGGCCGCCGTCCACAGCGTCCACCGTGCTGCGCGGTCGTCCGAGCCGCGGCCTGCGGCGCGCTCCGCCCTCCGCGCGGCTCCAGCTGCCGGCCAGACCCTCCAGCCGGCGGCCCAGCCTGCCCAGGCTCTGGTACAGCATGCGGCTCTCGAACAGCAGGTCGATGCGGAACGAGAGCTGCGCCAGCCGCTGCAGCTGTAGGAGCAGCGTGTCGTACTCGGCGCGCGCCGCGCAGTTGGCGTGGTAAAGCAGCGCCTCGGGCGAGTAGTGTTTGCGCACCACCGACTCCCGGGTGCGCAGATAGGAGAACCACGAGTCCAGCGACTGGGTGCTGTCGGGGTACAGACGGGACCGTCAGACACCACCACCGACTCCCGGGTGCGCAGATAGGAGAACCATGAGTCCAGCTACTGGGTGCTGTCGGGGAACAGACGGAACCGTCAGACACCGGCTCCTGGGAGCCGGCGAGGGTGGGATGGGTGGCTAGTTTGTGCTATAAGACCTGCGACTGGGTGCTGTCGGGGAACAGACGGAAGCGTCATACACCGGCTCCTGGGAGCCGGCGAGGGTGGGATGGGTGGCTAGTTTGTGCTACAAGACCTTTTCTCTGGCTACAGTTAGGTGCTGGTTACTATGCTTTTGAAAGTCGCTTACAAGGCGACTGTGGGCGCTGGTTTGTCTCATGGTCCTATTTAATAAGTAGTTAGACTAACAAGCTGACATAAAATTAGTTTTCAAGCGGAAAAATGTTTAAACAATGGTCATTTTAGTGTCGTTCAGGCGTCGTGAGTTTTCCAGCATACCAGCACACGTGCTGTCAGACAGAACCCCGGCCCGGCTTGGGGCTAATTTTGCTGGGAGTCGAGGGCGGCTCTCATTGCGTGACGATAATAAAACTATATGGTGATACGATGTCACCGAAACCAGCCGAAGGAGATCGTTAACCGATGCTAACTGAAAGCCAGGCTCGAAAAAGCATCGCTAGTGTACGGCGAACGGCATAGTGCATTTGTCGGGCACACTAGTGTTATGATGCTAGCCGTGTGCGTGTAGACGGTGTGATTACGAGCGAGCGAGCGCAGCGAGCGAAGCGAAGTCTTTTCAATATAACGGAAAAATCTCAGTACAGTATGAGCGGCCCGGCCCGGCCCGGCCCGGCCCGGCCTGTAACGCTTTTGAGAGGCTTATATCTCAGCAACCGCTGGACCGATTGGCCTGTGGTCTTTTTTGCTGGGTAGCCCCATCCCTTCTACCCCGTAATTGACTACTTTTGATACACCTCATTGACCGTCGTGGCACGTGCCACGTGAAAACTCAAGGGTGTTCAAGCTGTTTTGCAAAAGTAGTGATTTTGAGAGGCTCATATCTCAGCAGCCGCTTGGGCGATTGACTTGCGGTAATTTTTGTAGGGTAGCATCATCCCTTCTACCAAAAACAGGATACTCTCGATGCATGTGGGTCACCCCCAGTGCACGTGCAAAATACAACAATAAGAGGTGTCAAATTTGTTCCCATTTTAATAACTCGGTAATTACTGGGGCGATTTCGCTGAAACTTGGCATACAGGTAGGCACCCACCAGGCAATGCATTCCCATGTGTTGCGGTTAAGGTGCTACTGCACGTGCGCACGTGCAGGGGGCGCTTCCAGATCTCGAGAACGGCTGGGCCGATTGCGCTCAAATTTGGTACACGGTTGGAGACCAGTTAGTAGGGTGCCGTGCAAAAGTCAGTTTGGACCCCGTTTGCACGTGCGCACGTGCAGAATGCCGCTTCCAGATCTCAAGAACGGCTGGGCCGATTGCGTTCAAATTTGGCACACGGCTATCGACCGGTTTGAAGGGTGTTTTGCGCAAGTCCGTTGGAAGTACCCTCTCGCCCTTCCGCACGTGCAGGGCTCACTATCTCGCTCGCTCGTTCTTCGCCCAAAAGGCGTTTTACTGGTAATAATATTGTCATTGAAAAGGTCACCTCTGCATAACACGGGTTCATAGACAGACAGTGGCTTTAGGCCCACAGGCTCTCGAGCTATAATGTAATGTTAAAATATTATAACTAACAACAGTGTCTGAGAATACCACAGTCAATCTGTCCCTGCCCTTTACTGATTCAGAACGACCTAGTTTTGACCTTAGCCGTTTCGAGTAGTTCGAGCTCCTGTTATAGCCCACTACCGCGATTTTAATCGTCTTCGTGTCACATATGATTTTAATTCCAACTCGTACTCAAAATTAACTTCCGGAAGGCTAATTACCTCGGAACAAAGCACTGCACCAAAATAATCCTTACGCAAGCACTGTAATAATCGGATCAGTTCTATGTTGTGACATAAACATAAAGTTTTATGCTTGCCTATCCGACCACACGATTTCGGAATGATTGCACTTGGATCCTCGAACGGGAAAACGAAAGCAACACGCCCATTTTCACCCATAGACTTTTGTGCCATCTTATTTTCCGAGCATGGAACGAATGATACCAAGCCAGCTTGAGCTCGAGCATTATCCAGCTTAAGCGATTTCCAAGCGACGCATTGATATAAACGTGATCCATCCGACAACAAGGTTAAACTTTCAACTTTTAAAATTGTCCGTTGCAGCATAGTTGTATTCTACGCATAGTTTTATTGTCCTACGCATAGTTTTCCGATTGATGGGTATGTGTGTCCTTGCATCTTGAAAACTTGCCCGTTTAGTGAGTTTTGCTCCTATTTCTGTTAAAAGCATCGTAATGTTATAATGGTCCTGCTACTTGTGTTTTGTACCATTAAACCGTTCCAAAACTCCAATATTTTCAAACTCTCATTAAGATTTGATAAATGATATACAGCCACCAACTGTTTTGAAAACATCGGATCACGCTGCAGTTGCACCGTGGAAACAGGGGCTGTTATTTGATCGCAGATATTCGGCTGCGCGTTTTTTGCTTTTTCCGCGGCGTTTGCGTTGTCATTGTCGGCGGCCGGAGTGCGGGCGTTTCTTTTTATACATTTGCTTTAATTTCTCAGCTCATTTTTTCTTTTTCTTTTCAAGCCTTCGGTCCGGCGATGCTAGGTACCGCATTGCCACTCCGTGTAAACAGGAATCGGGCCTATGCGACCGCCCTGCCGTGAAAGTGAACGTATTCCGTGTTCACATCGCCTCTCGATTAGATTCGACTGGTGCACGAGCCGCTCTGTCTACCTGACTAAGTATCGGCGTCGCTTTACAACTGGTCTCGCTGGTAATCAGGAGATAGGAGAGCCGTTACCGCCGGCTGTTCGGACAGCTATGACAGCACTGACACGTGGGTCGATCGTATTGAAGCGGCCCCGCTCGGTGTCGCGCGCCATGATTGAATGGCACACGCGGCAGAGGATCCCAGGGGTGTGTGAGAGGCACTGGAGCGCGCTGGCCCGGCGAGGACAGTTGCACAGCGTGGCACCGACTGCAGTGATGACATGCGACTATCGAAGAAGGTTGCTAGCTGATGGGTTTCGTTATTGTTCCTGGCATCCATAGGTCAATGGAGTGTTGCATCGAGAAGCATGCCATTGACATTATGTTCACTGAATCAGGAAATATTCCGAAACGGCCGATAAATATTTTCGGAAAATGTAACGGCGCGGGGTGAGTTCAGGGCTCAGGAAACTTACTTCAGCAGACCGAATATGAATGCATTGAATTTGAGAACTCCTTCGGAGAGCCCCTCCTCGTTGTTTAACTTCATCACTAGATCTTGCAGAGCCTGCGGGCACGTTCCTGGAAACCAATGCCAAGTTAGTGTCACAACATCGGGCGATGGTCGAGGCGGAATATTATTCGCAAGAACGTCTAAACAAATCTACCGCGGATAAAAACCTGTTGATGTAAAGTTGATGCTAAAAACATTCTTTTATTTTATGAATACATTATCCACTGTCATTTAGACAAAATGGTCTTCCACATTTCATTGTTGCGCTAGCTAGCTTATCAATCACATCGGCACTCACCGAGGGAAGTGACGGACTCGACGAGTCGCCAGCCGCTGTTGGGCACCTCTCCGAAGGCCGTGTCGAGTGAGGTGACCAGGCCGTGGCTGAGGATGGAGTAGAGCGCTGGGCAGAGCCGGTCCAGCACCAGGTACCCGCCGGCCGGCCGCACGCTACTGTCGCCCACTGCGGCACGGACGGAGGGGAGGGCATGATAGGGACATTCTCCTTCTCATTCACACCTGTTGTGGCCTCGTGTAATTCCTTTTTGGTTCACCAATCATCGCAACATGAAATACACCTGTAATAACAGGCCTCTCTCAGTTGATATAATTAGTGTCCGGTTCATAAATTGGCAATGTTAGCCTTTCCTTGCAAAATAAAAAAATAAGAATACAAATCGAGTAAAATCATTGTTCCGTGTGGAAGTAGACTGCCCGCTGCCCTAATGTATTTTGCTCTTGTATCGGCCGCTGTCCCTATTATCGGTTCTTACCTGAGTCATCCTGTTTGTTTGAGGAAGAGTCGGACTGGAAGTACGCCACGATCTCGTTCACAGCCTCGATAAGAGGCTTCAGGAGACCTGGCGAGACACATTCATCCCGTTGACTATCTTACGATGGTATGGCGGTGTGTACATCGACTACAAAGCAATTGCCTTTTGCTTGAAGACATTAAAACCGCAATTAAATGGAACGAAGAGCTACAATGGTTTGTATAGCATGTATGTATATTGTATGATAATCGAATCTTTCTATGGTGAATCTATGTCAGGGCTACCTTTCTTTATTTTCAAATGAAAATTTACTCAACACAGACATGCATCGTACCTTTAAAGCTCTCTTTTTCGACGATGATGACCCGTTTGGGATGCGAAGGTGATGGCGTGCGTGCCTTGACCACGCACTCGGACCGCTCTCCGAACACGAGCCGCATCTTGGCGTCCTGCCCGTCACCTGTTGAAGGCTCCTGCTCGATCTCCTGGTGGCTATCGGAGAAGCTGACCCGCTTTGAGCGGCTGGCTTCGCCCGAGTCGCTGAGGCGCGCCGACGTGCCGGCGGCGGACATCCTCTCCAGCTCTCTGGCGCTGCTGGCGGCGAACGTGGCCGCTCCGTGCAGCCACTGCTGCAGCGGCTCCTGCAGCGAGAGCCGCTTATCGGCCGCGCAGGCGCCGCAGCGCGCCGCGCCGCCGCGCCGCAGGATGCCGCGCCGCTGTGAGTCGGTGAGGGGCGCCGCGTCCGTGTGAGGACAGACGGTGTGCCGGCGCGCCGCCGCCTCCGAGGCGGATGCGCACTGCCCGCCGTGCAGCCGACCGGCCGAGCTGGCCGTGCCGGCCTCCGACGAGCCATAGCCGAGCTCGTCGACCACCTGCTGGAACTGACGCGGCAGCAGCAGCCGCAGCGAACCCCAGTCGCGGATGTGTGACAGGTTGGCTCGCCGCAGAGTCTCGGCGTCGCTGCAAGAGTACGGCCGGCGCGTCTTGCGGCGTACGGCCGCGTCGGTGCGGGTGGGTGCCGAGGGAGGAGGCGTGGGACAGAGGTGCACAGACGCCTGGATCGGACACTGCTCCAGGAACTGCAGGTTCGGCATTGAGTAGTGTGGGTAGCAGACGTAGAGTGAGGTGCGTCCTCCGCTGGACGGGGATGTCCTCTCGGCAGCGCCGGCCAATGAGACGGACGTCTGGATCGAGTGGTCCACCCGCTGAGGAACCAGCCGCACGCCGTCTCGCCGACTCGCCCTGATCCGGCCCGACGAGTCGCTGGACGATGAGTCTATCTTGCCGGCGGCGGGGGCGGTCCGGGGCGGGCGGTACGGCGCCGTGGGCACCGGGTCGAGCAGCGAGAGTCGGGCCGGCGGCCGCTCGCCGCCCGCCTCCGACTCCGACTCGCTCTTCATGGGGCAGTCGGAGCAGCTGTCGCTGTGGCCGGTCAGCAGCTCGCTGGAGGACTGACCGCCGCTGGAGCCGCACTCGGGCCGCTGGCGCAGGAACAGCCGCACCAGCGATGAGCTGGCCTCGCGCTGGTTGACGTCGTACACGAGCACCGAGCCGGACATGGGCGCGTTCATCAGCGCGTCCGGCATGCTCTTGGACTGGACGTCGGCGGCGGCTGCGGGCCGCGCGCGCTGCTCCGACCAGGTGGTCAGCGGGCCCTCCGAGTGGTGGCACATCCGACAGCGGCCAGAGGCCGGCACATTGTCCACGGCAGACGGCTCACGACCTGGCGTCAAACATCAACGGCGCCGTAATTGGTCGTGCTTTGATTCTGCATTATTGAACAACAGACGCATTCTTTTTACACCCTTCATTGATTGATTGCTATTGAGCTATGCAAGTAACAGTCGGGTGCTAACTACCTACGTGTAATCTCATCAACTGTGGGTAAACCGGCCGTGATAGCTGTGATAGCCATGGGAGCTTATGAGGCAAGAGAGAATGTGTAAAATGAATTTTAAAACATGGAACTTATCACTTCCAACAAGAGTGTTCATACCCTTGAAGCTTGCAAAATAAATGAGTTTGCTATGCCGATGGGTTATGAGCTAGCTCTTATAAATCTGTCTATTACGGGGGCAATGACATCATTACGTTAGCATGTCACAGGATAATAGCGTGCCATCAATGAGGTCATATCGTTACAGCCTTCCCTGCTCCCAGAATACTTCCCCGTCCCCATCGAGCTCGTCATTATCCCAAATGACTCACGAATCCCCAACACCAGACATGTCAACAAGCGAATATCTGAATAGCGACTACGCTCTATATTTGTGGAAACTGAACGGCCCACTCTACCCTTTTCCCGGCGAGATCAGAAAACTCACGGTGGTCCATGCCGCTGCCCGTCATGCTGGCCTCGAACGCGATCGTGTAGTTGTTCATGTTGGTGCGGCAGGAGCGCGCGATTGTCTCTGGCTCATACGATGAGCAGTCGAGGGAGTCCATCGAGATGGTGTTGAACACGGGCTGCTCACGAGTCGAGGAGAACAACGGCGACGAGTGCTCCTTCTCGTCCTGAAAAGATCCCGTCAAAATAGATAAGCGGTCTTGTGCTATGTTCATAGGCGGCGGAACGGGGAGGGCACCGGGGCACCGTGCCCCCCTTTGATTTTGGCATTTTAACATTAGCCCTATGGGCGTTGCATGGAAAGAAGGGGACCAAAAGTCGGCAGTGCCCCCCCCCCCCCCGCCCTTAATTGAGGGTGTTCCGCCGCTACTGGCTGTGTTGTGGGTAAAGCAAGCTTGATTTTGATGGAAATTTGTCTGCTATGTGAAAGTAGATTAACTCCTGTGTTCGACACAAAATATTCGGCTGAATTTGTAATTCTGACTGTGATGTAATTGAAGCATGTAGATGAAGCATCCAAGAACACTTATCAAGGTTTGTCAGCTTCCAGCAAGCTTTATTAATTGTTATATAACACTCTGCCGGCACGTTGGATTGTCATTCCTTTGGGACCGCGTCGGTGACTCGCCACGGCGCTGCGGGTAATCTGCCGCCTGACAGATTCGGGGTAGGCTGTTCCGCACGACATTTGAGCCAGACGGCGCAGTGGATATTCCAGGGATTTGCCGAGGATTTTCGATGCGGAAGATTTGCCCTCCATATTGCGATCGCAAAGCTCTTGCAATCTTATTGCAAGAGCCCAAAATCATTATTCGCCAAGATATTGAATAAACATTATCATGTCTTATTCGACGAAGTGTCGAGGCTGGTGAGCTACAACAGTACCAATCTTGGATTGGTTCCTATCCACATACCCGCATTAGGGAATTTAGTTTCACCAATACCGATATATCTGCCATTTGATTTTATCCTCTCTTGGTCTGCTATTCGATTTCATGTGATTTATAGTAAGTCGACTTTTCCAACCGTACAATTTTCACCTCATTCATATCAGAATATTGCGATCCCCGCAGGATGAATAGGCCGAAAAGCGGCGGCGCCGCCGGTCGCACCTCCTCGTAGAGTTCCTCCTGATCTCCGTATCCGGATATTTCCAGTATGCGGTTGATGTCGCCGCGGTAGTATTCCTCCATGTCTACCTCTGCCAGCGTGGCGTCCACATGATAGGAGAGCTCGCTGTAGAGCGGGTCGGCCAGTGGCTCACAGGCCGGCTCGCCCCCTTTGGCGCCGAAAGGCGCAGACGCCCGAGCCGGCCCGCGGCCGTAGCTGAAACGGAGGGGGAGCGCACGGGGTCACAACCGCGGCGGACACATTAGAGAGGAATACACGGGGTCACATGCACACAGTCACATCGGTGGATACAACAGTGAGGAGCAAACTGGTTCAGCATTGTGGAGAGCACACGGGTTCACAATAGCGGCATGCACACGAAGTCAGAATAGTCGAGGGTGTACTCATAACAGCGGGGAACATATGGTTACAACAGCGGGGAAGACAACAGTGCTGAGCACGCAGTATCAACTCTGTCAGTCGCTTACTGCAGTGCACTGCCCAGTGCAAAGAGATGCTGGCCGCGTTGCTACACCACGGCGCTGCATCTCTGTCCCATTCCCATCTCCCCCCTACCGCCGCTGCCTGGTGTTGGGGTCACCGTACACGGAGGTAGTAAGAACAGCACCGACCGCGTGATTGCCTCCCGATCGGGAACTCCCGAGAGCCACTAATGGCCACGGACCCCAGACGAGCCGCGTGGCTAATCGGGAACCAATCAGACCCACCGCGATTGCCGCCGGGAAAATAATCACTAATTGACAGTAACCATAATTGGTATGCGTCGGAATGATTATACCTAGGGCTGTGTGGTTCTCTGAAAAAGCTGATAAAAGTTCATTTCTCTCCATAGAACGGCCATAGAACAGTGTTTTGCTTGTGGCTGGTTGCATTAGAGTGACGGTACAGAAAAAAGGCGTGCCCAATGTGAATAAGGTTGCACGAGCTCGTACATCAATGTTACTGATACTGACCAATTTCATTCCAAAGCATGAGTTTAATATTTGCAAACAAATTTCATCCTAAGCTGTTGATATTTAAACAACTGCGCCTTTCCAATAAACTAAACCATTATCTATCCAATCAAATACTGCCACATATAAACACAATTTCCTGCTTACATGTAAAGGGCAAGGCACCATATGTAAAGGGCGCCGACCTTTGGCAGATGGCTGCCGCCGCCGTGACGTCACTCCCCGCCCGGCTGACGTCACAGCCGGTCAGCCGGGGACCCGGATACGAAGTCTATCGGTGACGCCGTGCCGAATATTGAACAATATTCAGTCGGGGTCAAACGGCTCCCGGCGAGGATCAGGCGCTAATCCGCCGCCGCCGGCACAAGATATATGAGGGCATGATTCTCACGTGGCTTAGTGGGCCACGTGCATGGAATGGATTAATTCCGGGCCATCCCTGAGGCGCGCCGCGACTAATGTGGCGCTTAGACCGACCTGCCACCGACCTGCCACTCAGCAGTGCTGAATAATGCGCATAATAGATTTGCCATGAAGTTGATGCACCATTATTCTCTGCATATTTGGTGTCATAGTTTGTGATTTTTCTCGCATTTTGCGATAAGGCTACCGATGCTTCGAAAGCATGGCTTATGTGACCCTCATTTGATAACGCAAGAAAAATAGAAGCCAGAGAGAAAGTGTGGAGAGACAAAGAGAGAAAGGAAGGAAGGAAGGAGAATAGGAAGGGAGGGAGAGGCAAAGACGTTATACAATGTTTATAATAATGAAGGTTCTCACCTCTCACACTGACTATTAATGGTCAGTATTGGTTATGACATAGATTGTTATCTATGGTTATGATAATCACACCTTGTTAAGCGAAAGTAATTCCTTTCTCTGGCGGCACTGGGCAGTAGCAGAAAACATTAAATATAGGAACTAAGTTGTCATGCCCGCAGCAAATGAAGACGATATAGCAACGGTTTGCGACAGTGATAAATGAACTTGTACTTTTGATAAACATTTAAACGCTAATGAAACTAATGGGAATTTCGTTTCCAATGCCCCACGATAGAAAGTAATTAAAAAAGTCAATCGTTAGTCTTGCTAATTTAACGATTACAATGCTTCAGCATTATTACGGAGCGAGCGAAGCGAGCGGAGTCTTTCCTTAGATTAACGGAAATTTCTGAGTATGAGCGGCCGGCCGGCCGGCCGTGCGGACGCTTTTGCGAGGCTTATATCTCAGCAACCACTTGACCGATTTACATGCGGTAATTTTTGTAGGGTAGCTTCATTCCTTCTACTAAGTATTGGACTATTCCTGATGCATGTGGGTGACCCCTTACGCACGTGCCACGTGCAAAACGAAGAGGTGTCAGTTTTGTAATTGTTGCAATATCTCGGTAACTACTTGGCCGATTGCGCTGAAAGTTGGCATATAGGTAGGCACCCACTAGGCACTGCATATCCATGTGCCAGAGTTGGTGTGCTGCTGCACGTGCGCACGTGCAGGGGTCGTTTCCAGATCTCGAGAACGGCTCGACCGAATGCGCTCAAATTTGGTACACAGTTAGGGACCGGTTAGTAGGGTGCCGTGCACAAGTCAGTTGGGACCCATTTTGCACGTGCGCACGTGCAGGGTGCCGCTTCCAGATCTCGAGAACGGCTGGGCCGATTGTGCCCAAATTTGGCACATCGCTAGAGACCGGTTAGTAGGGTGCCGTGCACAAGTCAGTTGGAGGTACCCCTCGCAATTTCGCACGTGCAAGGCCCACCCTCTCGCCCGCTCCGTTAGTCGCCCCAAAAGGCGTTATACTGGTTACATTTTCCCGTCAAAAGCATCGTCAATCATGTGACGATACTTATAAGTGAGTTAACCGGGTGCGGGTTAGACGGCCCATGGGTTAGACCAGCGGGCAAAGATGAGCGGTCTATCTTCCATTGAGCTAATGAGCAGGAAAGCCGTGCGATCTTGGATGGATGACACAATAAATGTTTTGCGTTTGTGCACTGTGACTTTTTATACATAACATGTAATTATGTAACTCAATATACTCAGTAAACTTATATCAATAACAGCAATCAGTAGCACGATCAGTAAATAATGCATCAATTAGCTACCCACTTTTTCCCATCGACTAAATATGGGGGTGTTTAACTTTAGCAGCGTGCCTTTTTGGCTGCTGACATGCATTGCATGATTTAATGTTGTTCTGACAAATCAGTTATCACTAGGAAATGATAATGAACTCTCCCTTGCCGCGTTATGAGACGGGCAGGCAGCTACTGCTCTGCTCTAGCCAGTGTAAGATTGCATGCTGGGTATAGTATACCAAACGGATATTTGAAGTGACATGTTGAGCAAACGTCTAAGGCTAGTCAGAAAGCGAGCACTTCGAAGACTTTGTCCCGCCCGATACCCTGATATGCCTTACCTGAAGCCTTGCAAATATGTCTGCTGTATAATATACTCGTATACTAAATTATCTGTGAATTCCTGTGAGGACATCGCTTGATATAATTTCATATACGCGTATTATTTGAGTACACGTAACACGATATTGAGGGCTGTATGTACAATGAAAACCTCATTTCAGCGACCTTGCTTGCATGAAAATGCAAGTTGAACGATTAATGCGACCGAACAAGCTAATGCGATGCAGAATTTGAAAATATTATCCCTGTGCTATAGCGAAAAACTAACGATTATTCGAAACACTTAAATATACGTGTTAAGTACTAAGTAGGCATAGCAATCAAACATCTTTTTAGCTATGGACACGTGTGTTTGTTTTCATAATCATTTTGTTGGATGGTTGTTATAAGCATAGGTATCTGAATGCATGCATGCATGCTTGTGTGCCTGTTTTTAGGTATGTATGTACATACACACAATACACATGCTAGTGTGCAGGGTGGGCTTATAAAGTGTGTCACTTTTCAGTAGTAATTTCTCTAACGTGGTAAAAGATACGAAGAAGAAACTTCCACAACTTAAAAAAAAAATTCGTTTGCCAAATTATACGATACCCATTTTATGGAAAATTTCCTATCGAACTGTTGTTGCCATCATCATTCCAAAAAATGGGATATGTGCGTCTCTCTTTTATTTGAGCACGCGCTCGAAGTGGGCACCTCCACGCTCAAGGCACATCTGAAAGCGCTCCAGGAAGCTGGAGTCCTCTCTCGCCGTGTCTCTCGCCACTGCACACGGCCCGAGAGACGCTGCAGCTGCTCTAAGAGCTCTTCGGTCGCCGCGTGATCTTCAAGGGAAGTGAAAAGCAGTGAGCTCCTAACAATCCTGCCCTTAACCCGCTGGACTACTGGTTTTGGGGAGCCTGCAAGTACAGCGTCTACCGCAACAAGCCCAGAAGTCTGGAGGAGCTGCGTCTCAGCGTCGAGTAGTACGTACGTGAAGTGCCAGCTGCCACGCGGAGAGGGTGGGTGTCAGCTTCCTGGAGCGCGTTCAGATGTGCCTTGAGCGTGGAGGTGCCCACTTCGAGCACATGCGGAAATAAAAAAGGAGACGCACAGATCCCATTTTTTTCATGATGATGCCAACATCAGTTCGATCGAAACTTGTTCATAAAATGGGTATCATATAATTTGTCAAACGATTTTCTTCAAGCTGTGAAAGTTTCTTCTTTGTATCTTTTACCACTTTTGAGAAATTAGTGCTGAAAAGTGACACACTTTTTTGGCCCACCCTGTATGTATGCTTATGTGCACCTATGTATGCAATCGTGCATGCATGCATGTACTCTTCCATTGGATATGTAGATAACCAAGTGCTCCCGCACAGCAACGGCAAAACACAAACGCTTGCTTGTATTGCAGCCTTCGCTTGCCCTTGCAGCAGTGTTTAGTAACTGGTATGAGACTTTTATGGCGTGGCACTTCGCCTGTTTTCTCAGTATGTAAACAAAGTTTGTCTCCGCCTGTTCATGTCATTGTAATCGAGAACGAATTCCAAACAAAAAACTTCAGTGAGTTTGGACTAAAAGTGTTGATTGGCTAGTTGTCTAGCTGATCGTCTGCTCCCTATTAGACTTAGGTAAAATGCGGAATGCGGAAGGTCGTCAGTTAATAAGAGAGGTAGATCCTTCAGCAAAACGAGGCTGGTTTGCTTCAATTTAGAGATGCTACAACTCTCTTTCTTATCAGCTTCAAGTTGACATAGGGGGGCCACATTTTACCTCAAGAGCACTGAGCAGCTCATGACCTCACGGGCTCGGTAAATTAGCCCTGAAAATTCGTTATCACCGAACAGTCTGACGCTACCGATGCGTAAAAGCGACTGAGATCGACTTGTAGGAAAGGACTCAATACGATTATGGTAGGACAGACCATCCAGCAGTGCAGTCACCGGTATACATAGGGGCACGCTCCTACTGGAACTGTCCTTATCGATTGCCCTGGTATATTGGCTCGTAGTCAGGAGCATAATGTTTGTTCCAACCATAGACCTCTGTATACAGAGGTCTATGTTCCTACATATGGCTATCATCATCGAAACCCTTTTTCCTTTGTTCGATGCTGACCTTCTTGTCTACCACGCCGAAAAAATGACAACCACGCCGAAAAAATGACAACCACGCTTCCCAGTAGCCTTCACAGGCCAGGGCTATTCGCTATTTCTTTGTGTCACCCCATTTCAGCCATGAACAGACAGTTGCAGCATTAAAGTAAACCTGCTGACCAGTACGTCCGCAGGTCACAGCAGATCACACCTGCACCAGTAGCGCCAGAGACGGTCCAGAGTGCACACCAGTGCCACCTCGAGTCGATGGGAGGAGGTTTGATGCCAGCCCCGACCACCAGGGGTACCAGAGGAAGCGAACCGTTTCATGATCAGAAGTCAGAACCGCTCGATTTATTTCGGTGTGTCTTCGTCTGTGACTGCTTAACAACTTTTAATACCAATCATCATAAGAGTCTCTTTTTAAGAATACATTATAAGTCCCTCTGGTTTCTCCTCTCCTTCATCCGATTCTCCCTAGTGTTGGACCTTAACCCTACCCCTAGCTGGACGGTCAACGGAAACCAAGAACTTTAGAAGGAAAAGGACAAAATATTTCAGAGTAAACAAACCCCCGCCTCGGCGGCTGTTATATCTTGACTCGATGGTTGCAGGGGTTATGAGACAGTCAGCCAAGGGGGTGCGACAAATGGTCTGCTACTGGCATTGGCCAATGACCATACCACCGTCCCAACCCAACAGTCATCTCAACGCTACCCATTATCTGTCATCGCGTGACCCAGCTAAGCATGCCCAACAGAGACCAACCCAACAAAACAAAGCAAAGCAAGTCTCTCTCTATCTCTCTTCCACCACACCGGTCCAGCCCCAGCCTGCGGCCTGACTCACCCGCAGAGCCACTCGTAGTCTACATCTCCAAGAAAGTCTGTCTCGTTGATGGAGCGGTCGCTGTAGCCCGAGACGTCTGGCTGGCACCAGCTGTCCTGACTGCGCTGGCCCGAGGACGGCGCGACGGTGACCTTCTGAAGTGGAGGCTGGCTGGCGTTGTTGTTGTATACCGCCTCGGTCATTACACTGAAAATGAGAAGGGAGAGATTCGTTGAGAAGTTGTGCGGGGTACGGCATGTCGCGACTCGAGAGGCCGGGTCTGGTTCTGCTCGTATGGCACTGAAACAGTGGTGAACTAGTAACCCATGAAAAAGGAGAAAGCAAAAAGGACAGTTGCGATAAATTCGTCCCGGCTGTTGGGTTTGTCCCCGTCCGCTTTATCAGCGTGCCCCGGTGGCCGCCGCCCGAGTGTATCTGCTCATAGATGGCGCTGGTAGTCGAGACCTGAGTGGGTAGACTGCACCGCACAGCTCGGAAACTTTAGCGAGTGGACACGAGGGGAACAGCGTATTAGGGCAAACCGCCTTCGCGGTCTAACGATAAAGGAAACTGGGGGAACAAATTGCAACCCAGGACCGACGCTGAGAAGGGTATCTGGAGGATGTAACGAAACATGTGAAAGGCCTTGTTGGTTTGATTTGCGATTCATTGGAAAACATGTCACATGGACAACTTTGTAAAGGTGTTTGGTGATTGCCCGTACGAGTGTCAACGTGCTGGTCGGGAAAAAACATTCTTAACCCTCGCCCGTATAGGGGGGGGGGGCGGGGTCCAACGGACCCCTCCCCTCGGTTTTTCGCGAATAACTCGCGTAAAAAGCGGCCGATCGCGACGAAACTTTCAGTACCCTCGAGTTGATCAATTTACACCTACCCTGAAAATTTCATGACCCTGACCCAAATGACCTTTGACCTGTGACCTACTTTTCGAGACCATGTTTGGCGGGAATCGCGATTCGGCGTATGTCGGCTCGCATTGGCGGCGCGTTTGCAGTCTTTTCGTGGTTTCAAGCGTTCAAACATCTGAAATGATGTTGGTCCCATGCATTAGGGTGGGTGTCAAGGTCACCTGAAGGTCAGGTCAGGTCATTGACCTTTGATGACCTCGGTTCACTTTTTCGAGTTTTACATGTTTCTAGGCCAGTTTTTGGAGCTGAATTCGAATTTCACAACCATATGAATGTTAACGAAGTAGTTTTGGTGCCTTCGTAACATGTTACGAAGCTGTCAGAGGCGGTTGACACCTACTACGAATACCCGGCAGGACCCCTACAGGCTGACCTGACCTGACCTGACCCTACCTGGCCTAAATGCATGAAGACATTATCTGTGATCAAAACTAACATTATATTCGTGATCAGCACCCCGAAAAACCTCATAGCAGCCACACTTTACGACATTCTAACAGGTCCCGATTTTTCCGACTTTTGGGTCATTGACCTGACCTGGAAGGTCAACCAATGACCTAGGACCTTAAAATTGGGTATCATCGGCTTCCTCTCGTCACGGGCAGCACGCTCGTTTTTTCCGCGAAGCTCTAGCTCGATCAGGGGCGAAACGGCAAAGGGGTTCGCGGCTGGAAAAACACCAATACGGGCGAGGGTTAACCCGCGCCCCGTTGGGCTCTGCCGAGCAACGCGCCCTGTTGGGGGGGGGGGGCAGAATGCCCCCCCCCCCTAAGATCTCGAGAACCACGTAACCTAGCGACAAGCGGCAAACGGTGTTGGATAGCCCTATCAGCGAACTACCTTGTGACCCAATTTGATTGACCTAGGTCAAACCGACGACGTCACAGGTCAGGTCAAAGGTCGAATTTTCACCGTTTACAGGCATTTCAAGAAATGCGTTGTAAAATCGAGTAAAATGCATTTCATTGAAAATCATCGATGGGGAAATGTTCTTCAAACACATATTTTGCTATTTGAGGTCACTGATACCAGGTCAGGTCACAGAGGTCAGGTCACTGGGGGGTCACAATATGAAAGTGTCGTGTAATACATGTTTTATGGTCCATTTTACATGACAAATGCGATTATGTGGGTCAGGCAGCCTTTCGGGCCAGCTTAGGTCACATTTTGGTCAGGTCAGGTCAAGGTCAGGTCAAGGTCAGGTCAGGTCAAAATAGGTCAAATTTCAAAGTTGATATTTTTGCATAAAATGAGTATCGATTCAATGCAGCTCGTCACGGGGAGTTAAATGGTGGTCTTTGTTTTGTCCTACGTGGTCTAGAATCGCAAAAAATTGAGTTCAAAAATTTGACGTCATCATTTTTGAACAGTTTTTTCGCTATAACTTGGCCAAAAAACGAGATATCGATCTAAAATTTGGTATGTATATAGAAGAGCGCAGGAAATATCACAAATATTCCGTTTTTTTTTCGAAATTCGGATTTTTTTTTGATTTTTTTTAGTTTTTCTTTTAAAAAATCAATTTTTTGAATTTTTGGGGTCAAAAACCCAAAATTTTGAAAATCCGAGATAGCAGTTTTGTAGCGCCACTTTTTGTCTACTAGCCCATATAAAGAACTTTGAAATTGCTTGGTAACTGTAGATTTGGTGAGCGTTTCAAGATTGCATGTTTTTTGCCCATTTTTGCTCGAACATGACCTCAGTTTGACCTCAATAACTCCTGACCTAAGGTGACCTAAGACTTGAAATTTGGTGTGAAGGTGTCAAATTGATGCCCGGGAAGGTACTTAAAATTTGGCGGCGCTGCGCGCCGCCGTTTTCTTGTTATTCAGGAAAAACCACAGGGGGGGCCAAATTGCCCCCCCCCCCCAACGGGGCGAGGGTTAAAACGTTTCACCGTAAATATCATAGTTCTCGAAGGCTATATCTCAGCATTTTTATATCCCGAAATAATGAAAGGCCCTGGTAAGTACATACCACATGATTGAAGAACAAAGCCCACATTCCTCGTTGTTTTGGCCAATAGCACAGGCTGTGTGACCAACTGTAAGCTCTTGTGAGATCAAATCGTTGTCTAGACTCAGAGTAGATCGATTTCTACTTGATGATCGCTATTTATAGTCACCGTGATGATCGCCATCAGTTGTGTGCTAAGCAGTTACGTTCATAAAGTTACCCACTGCTCGATGCCTGTAGCAACGACAATATAAGTGACGGGCGACGAGTCTTCAGGGTTCTAAAGTCAGATGCTTAGACATCGTCGGCGTTCACTGATACGAGTTAACCGGGCTAAGTTACGCAGAGTAGCAATGACGTATGTGCTATTTTCAGCTCGTATGACAATCAGCTTCCTGGTTCCGAGGCGCTCCGGTCAATGGTGAATGGCGGAGTTGGCCATCCTCCATTAACCGCCAGCCATCGCATCATTGAAATTCCAGTTAGGTAATGGCCGCACTCGTATTAGAGCAGTCATGCGCCATTAACTGTGGCACAAAGACGCCTCAACTCAATAAAGGGATAAGGTAGGTGAATGGTGTAGGCGAACAAATAGCTCAGGCAAACATTTTTGCGGTATAATTATTAATTATGGATGAATGAAAGAGTGTCATCACAGATTAGCCAAAGCAGTGGAAATAACTTTGTTTTGAATGCGCTTTGCATCCGCTCAATACCAGTCCTGCTTTTGAACTTTGTCAACTAGATAATCTAGATTGTCTACATAGATAGAGCTTCACCGAAAAACAATTATCTAAATAATCCGCATAGCGAACACAGCGACTGCCCTCTAGTCCGTGCCTTCCGACATATTCGCTTGATTACTCAGAAACTTGGCACTGGGCGTGCCATTGCAGGCATCACGGCATTGACGTCACCTTATTCTGAAGGTCAAACATTGCTGCACCGTGCCGCCAACAGCTCTTAATAGCTCCAAGCCACGAGAGGAGCAATCGATAATCCGCCTTTGACTTGTGTATTTATGCATATTTACAGAATTTATGCAGAGTTGACGGAATTTCTTCAGTGCTTAGTCACAAACATATCGAGCTTTTTGTCACATTAAACTTAGCATTTGCATAAGCTATGCGGCATGGTGACAATTACCCCGAGGAACGCTTGACAAACATAATACCGTTTACCGCTGGAGGCACCCGCCATTCTGCATCGTCTCATGGGCCGAAGATCAATGAATGACCGCAAGCCACAGTGGTAATGGATCCGATAACGTAATCGATCACGTATATGCTATAAACCAGTGTTAGCCACCTTCTGCTGCCAAGACACACACTGGTAATGAATTTAGCGCCCCACAATGTATCGTCATAATATATTTAGACCGGACCCGCCTATAGAACCCGCCCTTCCTAGTCAATGAACTGAGGAACGGTGACGTCACAACGCATGTGCGTGCGTAGGCGACAAAGACGACATTTTCTTAAAAGAATGCTGTTCAAACGTTATAAAAACTCACGGGATGTGGCAAAGACTGCATTGTGCCACCAACTTGCATATTTTACCACCAAAGCTACCATCACCAACGTCTTCAGCCTTTGCATACACCCAAACAAAACAGAGACCCTTACGGAAGCGTCTACTGCACACATAAGACTTCTTAGGGGGATAAGATTACTACCAGATGGAAAGTACAGCATTGTTGTGTTTCTGCGGGCCACTCACCGTTCTGCAGAGCTGCGCTGGTGCACCGGGGCGCGTGTCGGCTCGGCGGGCGGGTCGGGTCACAGAGCGGTCTCGGCCGCCATGCCGCCGGTGGTGCGCGCAGTTACCGTCGTCGATCGATGGGGCAGGGCGCGGCGGCGCGCAGAGGGCGCTGCGGTGGCCGCCGGCGTCGTGACGCCACCACAGACAGCTGGTCGGAGGCGGGTCACTGGCGGCCGAGCGGCACCGGCTGGCACGGACGCTGTGTGCTGACATTGGGTGACACGGGGGACGGACACGAGCACATGTAACAGATGGTACTAAAGGGAAGTGATGAACGCTGCCCTGAGTTCAGGCGATACCGGGTGGTTACCAAGTCCGAGTGACAGCGGTAGGTATCCCGTATCAGATGACCCCGATATAGCCTCCAGGTGACACGAGCACCACATAGTATCGGTGGGGCCGCAGATAGGACCGGCTGCAAGGTCATGGGATGATACTGAATGAGCACTGTGTACATATGCCGACTCGTGTATCACTAGGAGTTGCATCATTAGTGTTGAGCTGTGACAGGCATTTGCGAGACAAAGCTCTGCTGCGCTGTATGTATGTGAGGGAAACTTTCATTGCAAAGGATCAGTCTCAGTTGAAAGTTTCCAAGTCCTCCGCTCATCGATTGAGAATGACTCAAGCAGCGCCAAGTTTTTCAATTCGTTCGTGTCAGCCTGTGTGGACAAATGGAACCTCTGTGTAAATTGTCACGGCTGGGCGTCTCCGGTCTCGGGCTGTGATGGACGAGACCGCTAATGGGACAGCCGCGGAGCGCCGGCCTCGGTCTGACTCGGAACAGTGCACCGGCCGTTCTGAACCAATTCACATCGCTGCACGCTTTACTTTGAAATAAATCTGACTAATATACGATCCCAGATCCTTTCTGAATCGAATGCAACCGATCAACGATGCAGCGAACCGAATCGGGCCATTGGCGGTTGCACCACGAATCGGGCACGAATCAGGCCGGGCCGGACGCATCAGAGGTTCAGAGGGGCCTTCTGAACCAACTCAGACGGATTTTTTATCAGCTCTGAAGCAACTCATAGCAATGTTTCCGTTTCTCTGAATCTTTTGCTGCAACGTCGGACGCCTTTGGCCCTCTGACGTCTCGGTTTGCGACTTCTGGCTTCCTGTCACTGACCCCGACCAACGACCTCTTAAAGGGACCCTCCCACCTTCAAAAAAGTTAATGAATTGGCATGAAAGTGATGTCGCTAGGTTCAGAAAGAGCGAAAACGAATATCTACCAAATTTTATCGAAAAATATTCACCGGTTTTCAATATATTAGACTTTTACTTTTCTTTACTTTTTGGGATATCCGCTGTTCCTAGCGACTTTATTTGAAAGTGCGGCATTTGTTGCGCGCAAAGCAGCCTATACCACCGCGTGCTACCAAACGTGTTGGTAAAATATTTAACGGACGTTCGAAAGCCTGATGACGTCATCAGATTCCCGTAATGGTTAAGAGATAGGGACCACGCTGGTCCCACCCTGCAAGTAAAGGGAAGAAATTTCTTGAACACCATAAAGCTGCGGGGGTTGCGACCAGGATAAATGGTGGTTTCTGAGCCTGGCCGCGAACTTGGCTATCTCAACTCAAAACTAATGTTAACCCTCGCCGGACCTATTGGTTTTCTACATACGCGCCGGCCGAGGGGGGGGGGGCGGGTACGACCCCCCCCTCGCCGTTTCGCCCCTGGTGGAGCTAGCGCGTCGCGGAAAAAACGAGCGTGTGCGCCGTTACGAGACGCAGAGATTGGTACCCGATTTTAAGGTCCTGGGTCAACCGGTGACCTCTGAGGTCAGGTCAAGTGCCCCAAGGTACGGTTCAGTTTTTGGTGAATAACTTCGCAAAAAACGGCCGCAGAGCGCCGATTTTGGCAGCATCGTGTTCGTTTCGCTCAGGCGCGTCGAATGATATACTTTTTGTCCGGGTCAGGTCAACTTGGGGTGTTGACCTCAGGTCAAGGTCAGGTCAGCACCCCCAGGTCACGAAGTTGGTCGAAAGAGGTCATGTCGCATATCATTCGATTCGGCAGGCCTTTCTGAGTCCATTGGTGGCTTTCCCGACTCGCTAGCTCAATTTGATCAAGAGTTATTGACGAAAAACTAATATGACCTTGATGACGTCATAAATGACGTCACGAAAGGTCAACATTGCAAAAGTGACGCATCTAACCTTGCAAGGAGTGCATCAAATCACGATTCTGTGTGCTTGAGATAGTTGGAGATCGTTCCCGGCGCCAGAATAGCAGTTTTCATTTTTCCCCATTGACTTATAATGGTGAGGTCACGAAAATAACCTGACCTCATATGACCTTTAGGAAAAATCCGAGATATACAAGTTGTGGGACTCATAATGGATACTAGATCCTGCAAGTTTCATTTCCCTGTGACATCTCCTCTGGCAGTGAGGGCGTTGCGAAGTTGCGACATCTGAAGACCGTGCAGAGGTTCACTTATGACGTCATAGGTCAGTGACCTGACCTGACAAAAAAATGCGGTTGGTGTCAAAAGATCCGGCTTGGATCAAAGGTCAGGTATGCCAAGTTTCAGCTCTCTATCGCCAGCGTGTTCGGAGCTATCGCGAAAAAACCCTATGGGGGGGGCGGCACCCGCCCCCCCCCCTCGGCCGGCGAGGGTTAAGGTGGGAGGGTCCCTTTAAGTCTCGACGGCAGCCAGTGACATTCAGCGGAACTGTTCGCGTCACCCCCCGGAGCAGTGTTATAGCCTTGGATATAGCACCTTCTTCCCATTATGGCTGCTGACTGGTGACCTTTATCGAAGAGCCAAACATCCTTTTTCGTCTTCCACACCATTCTTTGGCGTCCTTCGTGTGCTGACACATTTCCTTCTTTACATTTTTACATTCCCGAAACGTCCGTCACTCGTCCTCGGTTTGTAAGTATTTTTCCGTCAGCTCATATTTCACAGTCATATTCTCTGGTAATGGCCTTTTTGCTCGGTTCTTCCCCTGCCGTTCCACTCTCTCCCCTCCATGGCAGATTCTGTCCATGGCTTTTGTACGGACGCCCATGGCTGAGCCCCGCTCAATCCGTGGTGCCTTTATGGACCTGCCTGAAACAGCGGGGTGGCATGCAAATGCAGCGTTTGTCTAGTCACGGCTCCGTAAATACTGACCGTATACGGGCAGCACCGGGCGCACTGGCAACTCCGTGGTGGAGCCGACCTTAGCATGGGCTGACTTGGCTTTGGTATTTTACGGCTATGCTAATGAAATGTATGGTTGATATTTACGGTGCTCGTGTCATGGGATATTGTGTTATCGAGCAGCCAGACTATCATAGATAAAAGTAAATTTTCGGACTTGATCTATCAAGATGGCTGGCCTGAGATGTATTGGTACCTATATTACATTACCTACTGCCAGACTTGTAAACGACTCAAATTTTTTTTTAGTCGATTCTTTGTTTGAGTTTGGAAATTTGAATCGATTCATCAAACGACTCATGATGTTAAATTTAATTGATTCGAATCAACTCATGACTCATCAAGTTCCTCGATGAAATGATTCCAATCAACTCATGACTCGAGCAACTAGCCAACGGAATGATTCGAATCAACTCATGACTTACACATTTTGATGAATCGATTCAAATCAACTCATGACTCACACGACATTGTTATTGAACTTATTTCATTCAACCCATGACTCACTATATAGGCATTTGTTGATTATTTGACTCAAAGCTATGATAAAATGAATATGCCGCATACCACAATTGTATTCCTTTACATTCCGCTCCTTTACATTATTCTGAAGATTCTATGATGTCATAAAATAAGTTTCTTTTTAAACTTCTATTTCATGGAAAAATGTGCATTTTGTGGTTTATTGGCAGTTGAGCATCGCAATTTTGCGGTTTATAGGTGAGTTTATTTATATCATAGCATAGCCTATAGGTAGTTTATAGGCTATAGGTAGTTTGGGCGTATTTGACTCTATAGACGCCCAAACTCTTATGCTGTTGATTGATTATTGGGACCAAATTGGGACTGGGAGAAGGGGAGGCAGCCGCAGGTGTCAATTCTGACTTCTGACATGTAAAATGTAGGTAGGGGAGAGGCGGGAGAATTGGGACTTATTTCTCAGGCCATGTTCATTGAGGTATTATTTGGCAAGTATCGTAGCCAAGCTGCTTTGCGCAGCGCCAATAAATGGTCCACCATTTCTCTGCATTATGCCATCATAAAATAGCGAGCCTGTGCAATGATGTAGCTATATGTGGACAAAAACAAAAACACTCATTTTCAGGAGAATAGGGACACATGCAAGGAGACAAGGGACAGACACGAAGCTGAATTGGGACATATAAAAATCGGGTATTGGGATGACTCTATCTCGAATTATTTGTCGTGTCTATGTTTATAGGCAATCATTTGATACATTGGAACTTATCTTCACACTATCTGTTTCGTTAAATGCCGGGATTGTCTTTCACGATTACGATGTTCCCATAAAATGCACATTTTCCTACCAGAATAAGACTTTCTGGTCTTCGCTTTGATGTATTTGTGGTAAAGGGTGCAGCTGCAACCCCTTCCAAAACACGAAGGTAAAAACACATATTTTTGCACCACTTTACCGTTTTTACCATTTGGTGTCCCTATTCTCCCACAACACCGCCATAACAAATCACGCATTTTTTTGTCATTTATCAGTTACAGAGCGTGTTCATACAAACTAGCAATCGCATAAGGACGGTGTTAATCTAACATCGTGACATGTTGGAAGAAAGATAGTTTGTCATATGCAATGCACAGACAACTCAGAATAGCACTCGAAAAAACAAGTTTTTTGGTGCTCAGCCAGCACAGCCCAAACGACGCCCACAAAAGGGTTGCTGAGGCTTCCCATCGTTGCATGACACATAGAATCAAAAGGTAAAGGCAATAATCGTGCAAGGATGCTGTGCATTTTTTAGATATTGGCGTGTCCCTATTCTCCTGCGTCCCAATTCTCCCGCCTCTCCCCTACCTAGGTAGTGTAGCAGGCACTTGGTTTGGTAAGACTAAGTACCTACCAACTGCCAAATGCTTTTGGCTCA